ACAAGTTCGTGATATTATGTTAAGGTTTAAAATATTTACAAAAAATATTTAAAAATTTTCACTTTTCATTTTAATAATTGCGAGTTATGAAAATAACAATAATGATTAATGAATTCATTTGCCATACAAAATATGAAAGAATCAATCAAACAATCTTTTTTTATAATGATATATTATATGTATTAATTGGCTTAAAAATAATTACCTATTTTGTGCAAAAATTGGCAATAAAGTAATATATCATTAATTTTTTAAGTACTTTACAGCAAAGTTTAAGTAACAATATTTGTAAAAGTGGGTATAACTTATACACATATATTTATTCATACCAGTAGAATTCTAAAAATATGAAGTAAATATTAGAATATTAAATCTTTTTAAACTTTGTATAAGCAATTATTAGAATCCTACTTAAATCAAATATATAATTTCGCATCAATGAATACAATTGCCATAAAAATATTCAATTTGTTTATATATCTATATTTTCCTATATTAAATAGTTTTTGAAATCTACTGGTATAATTGTGCGAAAATTAAAAATTAAATATTTTGGCATTTATTCATACATAACCATATTCTTTTGATTTTTTCAGATAAAATTAAATTATCATTAGATAAAACCAACAAAAATGAAGTTAATCTGCATATATCTTTATGCGCATTATTATTTTCCTCTTAATCTTTCTACATTATTTTCTCCGATTCTACCTAGCAATGTATGTGTTATATTAAAATATAAGAATTGAACAGAAAATAAGTTAATAAGAAATGAATAAGAATATGATGATTGTGAGATTATAAAATGTTTTCATTTAAAAATTAATGATATGAAAAAATAATTGTTTTATTTAAAAAAAAATACTTTCTTGGTACAATTATACATTTCATATTCTTGTGTGGCTAATAGGAATAATAAATGTAAAAAGAAGTACATAAAATAGTTACATAAAATAGATCATTAAATATATGAGTTTTGAAATTGACGAAATTCAAGAGTATCTGTCGCATAATTTTTACTATTATTTTAAAACAGTTTTATTCATTGTCTATTGTTTATTTGAAATTCATAGGCACTGATCAAGATAAATATCTAAGCCTCTTGGACTGAAGATTTATAATTTAAGTTTTACAAACGGCCATGGCAGAGTATTTCCAATAGTCATTCATTTTCCAGATTTAAAACATAATAATTTTTTCCAAGTATGCAATAAAAAAATTCTTTCGCAAGCCGTAATACGAAATCAAGAGAAAAATAATGGTGCAAATGTTGCAAATTTTTAGAGAGACTTCATAAAATCATAATAAGAAACAAACAAAAGATATATTGTACATATAAAAATAATTACGCTTATTGTATCTCTTACTTTTAGGTAATTAACTAAAAAATAACTGTAATTAATGTTGTTGTGGTAGGCGCACAGCGATGTGTATGAAAATTTATGAATTCGAGACGATTTTAGAGGAGGAGTAATAAAGAAATTTTATCCTGGATAGGACTTATTATTTTGTGAAAAATTTCACTCGCCTGTATATTATATAACATTTTGTGAAATCTAATTTCTGCCACATTTGTATATACTTTCTGATAGGTATCTGATTATTTCTCTCGTTTTTCTCAAATTCACAATTAAAAATGAAATTTTTTTCACTTTTTTTAATCACATTCATAAATTAAATCATATTTCATATTTCTTTTTCATTATTTTTTTTTTCTTACATTCATTTCCAATCATTTTTCCAAAATTCAATTAAAAAATAAAAAAAAATCTTCCGTGATTTTGAGAAAGATGAGTGATAATTATGCGGAGAAAATTTCCAAGAATGTACTTGTAAAAACCATTTGTTTATTTTAGTTGGAACGCTTTAAACGAAATATAGTGGTACATGGATTTTTATATAAAATTTATTAATGTTAAAAATATTGACCCAATAGCCATTTTACAAATGAAACGTCGAAAATTTTCAAGGTTTGATCGCTCCAACCAAAGACTGAGTTCGCTTTACATTTTCTGATTTGGCAAACACGAAGTTCCACTGACAAAAAGACTGATATCTTATTGTTTTTAAATAATTCACAATAATGAATAAATAATATAATAATTATAGTATTACTTGGCAATATTTACTAAATGTTTTCTCATTTAATAAATTTTTTTTAATTAATTTATATTCAATGAAAATAAAAAATTCAGTCGAATTGAATTGTGAGACTTCGTGTTTACCTAATTTGTTGCATTCGCGGAAAACAATATTGTACCATGTAAGTAGGACTAAGCCGAATCAATGCAACTATTTAGAGCGATCGAACAAGACCTATAATCGTTTCGTGTGAAAAAAAAAAACAAATTATTAAGAGAAGAAATGAGCTTACAAATATAATGTTCAACGTGAAGCTCTTAAAAAAATTCTGAGTGTTAAAAAAACTTTTACGATAATATCGACAGGTGTCGAAATGCGGTGTATCTATTATATGTGTATTTTATTCTGTGAATACAGTAGGGCTTCTATGTCGCTGTGCGACAAGAAGATTTAATTGGAAAAAAACGCTCCAACCAAAGCTCCAGTTTGAACGAAAGTTTGACGAGAGTATAGAGAATTTCTCAAGATTATACAGTCGGAGAACGTAAGGGGAAGATACATCAAATTCTATATATATGTAGAATGTTTGATCTAGACAACCCTTTAATTTGTTCTTCGATACATACATACATCATCTACTCTCTCGTCCCCTGATAACACCTTTCGCTGAGTGCATGTATCAAATTTAATTTGATCCAAATAAAATATCACTAGATATAAATTAAATTGCGTGAATTATATTTATTGCTTATAAACCGTCGAGATCTAACAAATAAAAATTACATTCCTAAATTTATCTTTGATTTTCTCTGATTCTAACATGCTTGTAATTTTATAGTATGCTTTTCATAGTATGCAATAATAATAATAAACTTAAAATTATTTTACCGGCGGAAAATAAAAAATATTTTGAGTCAAATAATGAGATACGCTTGTATGTATTTATTTGCTTTGTCATATTTTTAGAGAAGTAGAGATGTTATCAGGTAGATGAGTTGTTTCCTATAAATTACTTATAAAAATTTAAACTCAACTATTGTTTAGCATTAATGTCTATAATAAATGTGATCAACACTTAAATCTATTAAATAATGTAACCAATTGTATGTGTATATATGTATATATGTATATATATACACATTGCAATTTGATCATTAAGTGTATTCTAATTGTGTAATTTCACAAATTGGCAAAATTATGAACAAATTGATTATCATACATTATTCGAATATAAAAAAAAAATAGCAATTTGTTAGGATAAAACATATGTGACATATATCTTCTATATCATTCAAATCAACAAAATTTTCTTTATTTAATTTATCTATTTATACCAAAATGAATATTTTATGTACTATACAACAACAAAATATTTACATTTACTCAAAGTACATAAATTGTTTATTTCTTAAAAAGTATAAGCAAAAAAAGGATACAATTGCATTTCACATATATACATATAATGTTAGCAAGAAAATATTCATGGTGAACATAAATTGGACAAATAATTTAAACAAGCAAATGTTTCAAAATAAATTCTGATTACATCGCGTAAAAATAAATTTTTTTAGGATATCCCCCCTAGCAAAATTGAATTAATTTTAAAAAACAAAAAAATAGTCGGACAAATTACATTTTCTTTGTGTATAGTTTTTAAAAATTTGCATAAATTTATTTTTTTATAAATATGAAAAAATTGATCTGTATAAAATTTAAAAATATTTTGTATAGAATTTTGCAAATAGATCTTTTTCAAAACTTTTTATTACATTTTAAATGTGAAAATTTCTTATACATATTTTAACACTTATGTTTTTGAAAATTTTTAAATATGTTTATTAGCTTTGAAGGTTATATAGATATATAATTTTATTTAATTTTTAATGTAATCAAAAATTCTAGCAAAATGAATATTATTTTATTTATTAATATAATTTGTATTATATTAAATTTAATAAATTTTATGTAAAAATAATGATATAAATTAAAAAGTTAGATCGGAAATAATTTTTTATTAAAAGCACTTCGAATTTTATATCTATAGATATATAAACTTTAAGCTTATTAATCATATTCGTGTCTGTTTTTTAAAATAATATGGATAATATTTCATATTAGATTATTTGATTTTATTTAATATAAAAATATTAGATTTTAAAAGAAGAAAAATATTAAATTTTAAAATCAAATATATATATTATAAACTTTATGAATCAAATAAAAATGGTGATTTGGCATTTCTATATATTTCAATACTTTATTTAAATATTATGCAATTATATTACAATATATATATATATATATATATATAATATCTTATAAATTAATAAATGCAATATGTTTCATATTATTTTTCTATACATATAAACTAATATTTTCAAATGCAAATAAAAGATAATCGCTAACTATACATATAATACTTCTGAACAATTCAATTTTCTTAGTATACTACTGCAAGGCTATTCACAAGTAGGATATTTTATCTAATTTAATAAAATGTTTGTATAGTAACTATTAAAAAATTATATTACAAAAAAAATCACATGTAAAAGCAAGTTTTCTAGACTCTTAAGCAAATTTTTCTCTTTTTTTAATTCTTAATTTCTATGATAAAGATTGATATCGTATATATATATATACTCGTTAGAAATATAAAAAGAAAATTCTCATTATTAATTTTCACTAAGAAAAAAATCTATAACTATATCAATATATATTTATATATATTTATCATTGCATAAAAACAAAATTATTTAGAGATGAACAAATTTTATACCCCTTGATTTTTTCTCCCTTTCTTATTTTTGTCTTAAAATATAGAACAATACATATGTGTAAAAGAAAATCTTAGTTTCAACTTGATAAATATGAATTTTATTTAGTGATTTTTTTTTTTATTCATTATATATTCATGATGACACATGTGTAAAGAGAAAACATTTATTATTAAATGTAATGATAATTTCTTAATTTATATTTTTACATATTTTTACGTGTTTGTGTAAGAATCTTTAAGTTTTAAGAATTAATAATAATGGTGATTGAATTATTTACCAAGATACAAATATAAAACAATGTCACATCAAACACGCATTGATCAATTTTATAAAAGAGTCGGCAATAAATATCCTTCGCATGTAATTAAAAAGCATTCTAGGTTAAAAACTGCGCCGTATTCAAGAAGTGTTAGTTGACATTTTCATATCTTTTAAAAATTTTTATATCAATTTTTAAAATTACATTGTATGGAAATTAAATTATTTTTTTTTATTTTTATAGAAAGAAAAAGATATAAATAGAAAACAAAATGTTTCATTATCACAATATATGAAATCTGATGATGTATCAGATTGTACTATTATACATGAAAAGTCTAATGAAATGCATGATAGCTTTTTAAATGATACAAAGATTCAATACGATGACGAAATAATGAAAAATAATATATCATTATATGAAAATAATCACTTGGAAAAAACATCAACATATATTAATATGCAATTACAAGAAACATTAGAAAATAAATTAAATAACGATTATATGAAAACATTAGAACTTAATAGTAATAATAATTCTCAGTTAAAGAAAACTCCAATTAAAGAATCAAATTTTGCAAATACAAAACAAAGGACTCCAAATAAAAACAATTTTTCATCACAAAATACTAATAGTTCTTCTATACATAAAAAATTAAGTTACACACCTAGAATATCATTTGAAAATAAATCTCCAAAAATTATTGAAAAGAAAAACTTATTTGATGAAAATATTAATAATTCTATTATTATTCAGACTATTGAAAATATGAATTTAGTAAAACAAGGTGCTATTTCATTACATAATTTTGATCTAGAAAAAATATATTCTAAAAATACATTTGATTATCAATATAATAATATAAATACTGAAAATTTAATGAAATATGAATTAAACAATATAAATTTATGCAATGATTTGAATTCTAAAATTTTATTCACTACTATTTTTAGTGTACTTTCTCTTCCTATTAATTGTGGTTATTTTGATGAAAATGATCTTGATTTTATATATTCTATAATTACCCTTCCTATAAATGCTCAAATGTTATTAGCTAGGATGATAAAAAGAAAAAGAAAATGGTTTAGAAAAAATAATATAAGTTATCCAGAAATAAATACAGAGTTAAAAGATATTTTTGAAATTCTTGTTTCACGATCTATTTGTACTTTTGATATTCAAAAAGAAAACTTATCTACAATACTTGAATTATTACAAGTAAATGAAATTCAACAACTTTGTAAGAACATGAAAATTAATCCTAAAGGAAACAAAAAAAGTAATATACAAAAATTATTAAAACTGTCAAACAATAAACCTTTATTTCCTGGAGTAAAGTCCCCAAGTAATTTTTTGTATGCTTCAATACTTGATATATTAGATTATTGCGTATGCATTACTATTAAAACATGGAATATTATTGATAGAATTATAACATTATTAATACCAAATCAAAATCCAAGAGATAATACATCAGATATATTTTACTTTTTATGTGATGTTTATTTAGGAAAGACAATATTTCCGAATAATTCTGGAGATTATTTTCCAGTATTTTCTTGTAAATTACATTTGATAAAGTAAATTTTTTTTTTAATCAACAATAAATATAAAAATTGATATAAATTTTAATTGTTTTTAATAATTTTATTTATTTATATTTGTAGTTATATGGAAGCTAAATCTATATTATCTACAACATTACAATATATTGAAAAGAAAGATTGGAAAAAAGTACAAGAATATGGAAATTTAGCTATGGATATATTACCAAATTTATTAGAAATTGAATCATTAAAGTAATATAAATTTTAATAAAAAAAATATTTAATAATTTCAATTTTAATACAGATTATTTTTTAGATTTATTTTTTAATACAATTTTTTAGATTAAAAAATTCTATACTTCCTATGCATGTAAGATATTATATGCCAGGATATATATGGTTAAAAATACTTTCTAAATGTATAGAAGCATTCAAAAAGAATCGAGATAAAAAGCGAGTAGTAGAAATTTTATCGTTTCTATTAAAACAAAATTGTCATATGCTTTCACATAAAGGAAAATGGTACGAAGAATTAGCTCTCATTGAAATGTATCATCATAAAAATATAGAAATATCTGCATCTATCATAATCCAAGCTTTAAATACAGAAAATTTGACACAAGTAGATAAAGTAAATCTTATAGATAGAGCAAATAAAATAGTCAAGAAGAAAATAATTAAATCAATTACAAAAACTACTGTTAATAAAATCTTAGATGATTATATTTCTTATATGCCAAAATATAAGCCAACATCTATCATTATAAATGCCACAGTAATGCCAAGGTAAATTTAATTTTATATGTATTATAATTTTTATTTATTTTAAAATATAATGTGGAATTAAATTATTTTTAGAAATACTGCAGGAAATAAAAGTATTTGGTGTATAAAAAGTAGTATTGAAAATCAAACTTATGGCTCAGTAGAAACTGTTGCATTCCATCATTATCAGAAACAAGGATTTCCCAATGGATTGCACTGTGAAGGTGCATTACCAAATATACTATTTTGTACTTTATTTTGGGAAGAATTATATGATATACATATTCCTGGAGCATTTGTAACACCATATCAAGAAGCTCCAGGAGATTTATATACAGATCAGTTTTATAAAAATAGAAAAGAAAAAATAGATATGAAACTTAAAATAATTAGTGATTTAAATTCTGAATTATTAAGTTCTAAAATGAAAGAAAAATTTATAATATTTAAACAATATCAATCGGTTATGTTAAGAAATTTGGATAATAATTTACAATTGGAGGTAATTTTATTGATATTTTATTATCTGATTCATCAAAAAATGTAATAATATACAACATTTTTATTTATAGGAAATAGTACACTGTTTGGGAGTACAAGGTGTAGTAGGGATTTGTAAACGACTCATTGAAAATTTTAAACTTTGGAGAGCTGGATTTCCAGATTTAATTGTTTGGAATTATGATACCAAAAAAGTATGTATATTTATTTAAAAAATAATATCATTAAATCTATTAAAAATATATTTCTTATATTTTATATTATATAATTTTTAATTAAAATTTCATATTTTCTTAATTAAAAAAGCACATTTTTTTTAAAGCATAAAATTATAGAAGTAAAAGGTCCTCGTGATGTTCTTTCAACAAAGCAAAGATTATGGTTAGAGTACTTACATCAACTTGGACTCAATATTGAAGTATGTTTAGTACAAGGTAAATATTCTACATGCTCAAAATGTTCTGTTTATATTCAGAAATCATAATCCTAAAGCTTCTGGTACAGTAACAGTGCAAAGACCTTGAAAATGATACCTTTAAAATAATGCATATAATAATATTATTTTGTTACAGATAAATGCTGAAATCTAGAGAAAAAAAATTGAAGAATTTAATAATTGTGAATAAATTTTATAACTTTTTGTTATAAGAGAATAGACATTATAAGACTTTAATTAAGATATTGGTATAGAATTTTTAATATTTTAATAGAGTATTTTATTTTAATATATTATTTTTTTTTTTTAATATAAAATTTTTTATATAACTATTTATATAAAATGCTTTCAATATTTTTAATTTTTATATTATTTCAACTTAATTTTTAATTTTTAATTTTTATAATATTTTAACTTACTCGAAATATGATGTAGCAGGAGTTGTTTCCAAATTAAATTCAGCAACAGGGATTCCATGCTGTGCTACATATGGAGCAAACATTGCTGCAGGATAAACAATAGATGATGTACCGATAACCAGGCAAACATCACAATTTTCAACGGCAATATCTAATATTTTAATAAAGAGATTAAAATATATTTTTATTTTATTGAATAGAAATTTAATTTAAATTTTAATTTATAATACGAAAAAATTTCAATTAACTTAATGGAAAAAATTGAGATCTAATGAATAATCAACATTGGAAAAAATTTTATTAATTGTCACTAGAGATAATTGCAATTCGATTAATCGCTATTTTATTTATTTTATTAATCATTATTATATATTATGTTATTAGAATTTTATATTGCATTTTCATATAATAATTCATATAATAATTATTATAATTATTAAATACTTACGTGCTTTTTGCATTATGTAATCATCTAAATTTTCTCCAAACCATACAATGTGAGGTCTCAATATATTTTTACAATTTTGACAATGAGGTAAATCTTCTTTTGGAATATCGGAACTCATAATATTTGGATCTGGCGATCTACTCATGTTTATATTATTGACATTCATTATATGCAAATATTTATCATTTATATAAAGGTATAAAAAAAATATTACCCTTTCCCTTTTAATGCAGGACATATTGGAATATTTGTATTTTTAACAACTTCATGACAAAATGTACAACGAGTTTTAAATAGTGAACCATGAAGTTCCACTACATCTTTAGCTCCTGCTCTTTGATGAAGTTCATCAATATTTTGTGTTATAATTGTAACATTTTTACCTTCCTTTAAATAACGATCTTGGAAAATCGCTATTGCTTCATGAGCCTAGAAATTCCATTCAAAATAATATCTTTAAAAAAATATATTGTAATTATTAAAATACCTTATTAGGTTTAGCTTCTAATGCTACTCGTCTACGATATTCATAAAATTCCCAAACTAAAGAAGGATTTTCTGCAAATGCTGTTGGAGTTGCAAGACTTTCAGCTGGATATTTTCTCCAGAAACCACCAGCACCTCTAAATGTAGGAATACCAGATTCTGCGGAAATTCCACTACCAGTCAATATCAATACATTCTTCGCATTTGCCACTATTTCACGAAACGATTTCATAGTATTCATGGTTTCTATATAAACTTTTTTAAGGTTATTCTATTCTATATTAATAGATTCTTTGTTTTGTTTTAAATAACATCAAAAGTTTATAATTGGCATGCGTATTGTTTGACAGCTGATTCTTATATACAGGTAATAAATAGTAATGATGACGTAAAATCACAAGTCGAGTGATTTTCTTTAAGTGAAAAGTAAATTCACAAACTTTTTATACTCTTTTAACAAATTTTTATGCAAAGAGAATGAATATTCTTTAATAAAATCATAAGTACGAAATCTTTCAATCATTAGATATTCCGAAAATGTTTCTCAGAAGTTTTTTTAAAAAAAAATCTAAAGTACGCTTATTTTTAAAAGATATTTTTATTTTATATAGTCATATAATTGTTTAACATAATTTTTTAGACAATACCACGTAAATTTATAAATAACTCTTTTGGAAGTTACGAGGTTATTGTACCATGGGAAATTTCTGAAGTTAGAGAAGTACCATCATATATTCCTAAACCTTCTTATAGTCAAACATTAATTCCACGTGATGGTCCAAAAAAACCTGAAATTAAAGATAAAAATCAAATACAAAGCATGAAAGACAGTTGTAATTTTGCCAAAAAAGTATTGACTTATATTAAACAATATATAAAGGTATATAAAATATAATAAGCTATATGAAATTTAATTAATAATACAATTTAAATATCATTTTTATTTCTTCTTACTTTTCAAATCCTATTTTAGCCTGGTATAACTACAGATGAATTAGATGCAATAGTTCATGAAATGATTATAAGTAATGGAGCTTATCCAAGTCCACTTAACTATAAAGGGTTTCCAAAGTCAATATGTACTAGTATTAATAATGTTGCATGTCATGGAATCCCAGATAAAAGACCATTAGTGAAAGGGGATATATTAAATATTGATGTAACAGTCAGTAAAAACAATAATATATTATAAAATAATGTAATATGAATATATTGCTGCATTTATAAATGTAAAAATATATAAAAATAAAAGTAGTTTTATTTTTTTCTATATTTAGGTATATTTACATGGTTATCATGGAGATTGTTCAAAAATGTTTGAAGTAGAAGAATGTGATGATGAAGCAAAACGTTTAATAAATATAACAGAATTGTGCTTAAAAAATGCTATTGATATTTGTAAACCTAATGAAAATTTCTCCAGTATAGGTAATGATTATATAATAGTTTAAATATAATATAATTATATAATCTGAATATTTTTATATTTTTCTTTTTATTTTTGTCAGGAAATATTATTGAAGAAACAGCAAATAAAAATGGATATTCTATAATTCCAGTATTTGCAGGACATGGTATAGGTACTTATTTTCATGGTCCACCAGATATTTTTCATTTTGGTAAGTTACTATTTCTATATTATATATATAATTATATATAGATAATTAAGAAAATTATGTCTTATATTATTATTAGCAAATAATTTTGATGGAAAAATGTTACCTGGAATGACATTTACTATTGAACCAGTTTTAAGTCAAGGTAGTGAAGAAATTAAAATTTTAGAAGATGGATGGACTGCTGTTACAGTAGATAATGCAAGAACAGCACAATGTGAACATACTGTATTAGTTACTGATACTGGTTGTAATGTATTAACTCGTTAATCTTATAAATTTACTTTTTGTGTATATTTTCCATTGCTTCAAAAATATAATTAAAAATTATATAGAAAAAATTCATTTAGAATTGTTACAGATATTTTTATTAAGAAAAATTATTTATATTTATTTTTACATAATAGCAGGTCCCCAATAACTATCTAAAGTTAATGGTCCTTGTATTTCAACACCTTCTTCCCTTGTGATTATTCCAACTTGATACTAAAAATTTAAAAAATTAAATTTTTGTTTTAATATAATATTAAAAATACACATATAAAATTCTTATACTATTATTTACCTTTGGAAAAGACCGTGCATCTCTGTAATAAAGAACTTGCATTACTTTATACAAAAGTTCAATTGCTTGCTCTTTACTCATTTCTTTATTTTCTTCATAAGCTTTTCTTAAAATAGGTGTTGCCATATATGCACCATATCCAGTTGCAATTACTGGATCACTATAGGCTGTACCAAGTTTATCCACAGTACCCAAAAATCTAAATGAAAATATATTACTACATTTAATATAAGAAGAAAATAAAATGAACTTACAATTTATCCCCTTCTAAACCTCCAATAATAAAATTATTCCAAAATGGATCAAACTGTGATCTCCTACTGTATAATACTCGAGTTAACCAACAATGAAGAGCTTTTGGTTTTAAAGATAAACCATCATCAAGACATTCTTCCTCAACACTATAAGATATAAAAAAACAATGAAAATATAAAAAGATATATTGAAATTTATATAAAATATAAACATAATTGAAATATACATATAATATATAATTGAAAACATAATTGAAATATACATTTTTCTTTCAATGTGGCTTTTTAAGCATTGATAATCAGCATAATCTCCTCCTGCACCAAGGATAATATTATCATTCACTTTCATCACACGTTCAAGATTTCTATATCTAGCCAATGATCCATATGATCCAAGAATATCTGTTGCTATGAGAATACCATTTTTAAATTGAATTCCAACTACAGATGTACCAGTTGTCATTGGTGCTCTATAAAGTAGAAAAACAAATATCAAGTTAAAGAAAAATGATGATTGGGAAAATTAGAATTAATCAAATAATTAATATAATAGTAGAACAATTCAAATCTTATACATTTTTTTTATCAAATTTATTTTATTAAAATATTAAAAATATTAATTTTTTAATCACTATATACAATTTATAATTTTCATATTCATTGAAAATAAACATGACATGCAGTTTTAAAAAAAAACTTTCAAAACGAATATGAATGTATGATAAAAAATTTTACTGTGATCTTTGGAATCCTCCAACTTCGAAATGCGTAGAACTTCCTGGAAAATGATAAAATGCACCAGGTACTGGACCATTTTGCCATAATGGTGCAGGAGTTTGCCAATCAGCTTTGCTAAGCGCCATGTTTTTTACAGGTATAAAACAGATTGAAATGTCATTCAACTGAAGTCTGAACATTCGATAAGTTTGTTCTTTACAAAAAAACAGTTCCTAAATTTCCCATCTAGAAATATTTAATTTCCCCCAAAAATCTTTTTTGATTAATTTTAATAGTATAATCAAATATTAAGATATTATAAAATTTAAAAAATGTAAAATTTTAAGTGTATTTTATTAATAATATATTGTATTATTATATGTATAATATATAATAATTATTATTACTATAAAAGAATATTTCATAGATATTTAATTTTATTTCTATAAAATAAAAAATATAAATTGTATAAAAATAAATTATATAAAAAAATTAATATATATAATATATATATAATATAATCTTTACATAATCATATTCAAAAATTTAAAAATTATTATTATTTAAATATTTAAATATTCTTATAAAATAAATAAATTCCTGACATAATGAAAAATATGAATTATGTAATAAATTATATTTAAAAAAATAAAGTAAATTATATTATAAATTATTTTATATTACTTTTTCGAAAAAAAACTATTTCTCAAAGAAAATTTAAATTTAAATATATTTTATATATATTTATTTGAAATAGAAAATTTATTTCTACATATAAGAATAATATAAATTATAAATTATATTAACATATGATTATTATAAATACTAAATATTTTGTGAATCATATTTATTATTATATTTAATAAAGATGCAAATGGAAAGATAGTTTTAAAAACATTTTTGAATTTATTGATAAAAAAATTGTTCTGAAATATATTTAATTTTTACGAAATTTTTGATATTATCTTTTTATTCATTATGAATTCATTTTAAATGAAATACAAAAAAAATAATATTATTAAAATCAAATTATTTGAAAATCTCATTACAGAAGATGTGTTATTGTTGTTTTTATTATTTTTATCATTATCACCATCATTATCATCACTTAAGTCATAATAATCAATTTGAGACAAAACCATGTTAATTGATCTTAATAAAGGATATTTTTTTTCTCTTAGATCTAGAGAGTTATTGAGAGATGCACATTTTCCACTAAAATCATCAGTATCGATACTCCAAATCATTACACCGGACAAATTTAAACTCATCGCGTATTCAACCTAGAAATATTGAAAAAATAGAGTAGTAAAACTATAAAATATTTATTAAATTAATATTATCATTATATTTTTAATTAATATTATCATTATTTGTGATAGATATTAATCAACCTTTGCTTTTAAACTTTTCGGATTATCAAACATAATAACGTGGTCATCATTGATTACGTAAGGTGTGTTACTATTATCATCCCACCCAGTTATCCACTTCTGTACATTAGTTATTAGTTCTTCACAAATCTGAAAAAATATTATATATATATAAATTGTATATGTAAATATGTATATTAAAATATAATATATATGTATAATAGAATTTTATTAATGAAATCAAATCAATAGATATAACTGAAATTCAATTTAAATCTGATAACTTAAAATCAACAAAAATAAAACATACTTCATTATATCCCATGAAACCATTTTCACCAGTATAAGGTCCCTTGAATCCATCTAATATACTTGTTTGACCAATAGGACTTTCTTTAGAAGAATTCATTTTGTTAGCCAAAATAAAAGTTCTCCCATACATTGGCAATCCTAATACTATTTTATTTGATGGTGCACCTTTACTTAACAAATACATAAGTGTATCCACCTAAACAAAAACTTTATTCCATTTATGAATTCTGTTTATGATATTTATTATATTTTATTTAATATTATATTTCATTATATATATATATATATATTTATTTATTTTATTTAATATTATATTTCATTATATATATATATACACACATATTTTATAATATTTTATAATATATCTCATTATATTTTATCTAAATGCATTACCACACTTTGACCGTCTTCGCTTTTTAATGGTGCATTTGGAAGTACTTTTCTATTCCATGTACCATGATAATCATAAGCCATTACATGAATGTAATCAAGATATTTTGAAATTTCGGGAATATCATACGCCATATCGATAGTTGCTTTATTAGAACTTAAAGCTGCTGTTAATAGATAATTCGATTTTTTGAATGCTTCTTTTAATTCCTGTTAAAAAATTATATTTCTTTAAGAAAATGTAATAAATTTTTAATTTCTTTTAATTATCTAATTTCAAACGATATATAAAAAATATATCTTTTTTTTTATATTCTTTATACATATATACTTTGAGAAGAGAAACAAAATTTTGTTTATCCGCAGGCATACCCCCCCGTGATCCTGGATATTCCCAATCAAGATCGAATCCATTGAAACGATATTCACTGTAAAATATAAATTATTGAATAAACAAATCTGTAAAAAAATAAATTATCTTAATATTTGATTCTATACCCAAGGAATTTCACTACGCTGTCAATAAATTTACTTCTATGATCGGGAGATGAAGCGAGTACAGAATAGCTTTGACTACCTTCGTTCCATCCTCCGATTGCAAGAAGGATTTTCAAGTTAGGATTTTTTTTATGAAGTTGGATCATATTTTTATAATTATCTAAAATAATGAATGACGATATCATTCATATAAATTATTTTAATTTATTTTTATGTACTTCTACTCCTATACCTCTTTCGATATCCAAATGAGGATCAAGACTCTTAATAGTCCACGATTCATTATTTAATCCGGCGAATGCATATATAATATGCGTACAAAGTTCTGGATTGATATCAGAAATTTCAAACATTCCATTATGATTTCTGTAAATGGCCCAGGAAGCAACATAACAAGTTACAACCTTGTTATGCTTAGACCTTAATAAAGCTTAGTAAAAAAAGTATATAATTTTAAAATATAGTTTCATAATTTAAAAATATTAATATATAAAATTATTCATTTTTTCACAGATGATTCATTTTTATATTACAATAAAATAATTTTATATCATAATATTCTTTGCATTATTAAAATTTTTCAATAAGTCAATAAGATATGAAAACATGAAAACATATATTTATATAATAAATATATAATATATATTATTATTTATTCAATATGGAAAAAAAAATATGGAATTATATATTCAAATTAAATTGTAATATTTCGATAAGAGAACTTATTTTTATTTATTTTTTTAAAAAACAAAGTTAAACAAAGATTATGTCGAAATGTCAGACACTTTGCATTGCATAAGTATCAAATGAAATGTCAAATATATTCTATACATTTCTTTTTGTTATATAGTATTTCATCAAATAATATGCTATTTGTTAATTGGATTATTTTTATTTTTATTGTTTTTATAATATATATTTTGTTATTAATTTTTATTCATATTTTATTCTAATTAAACAATACAAGTATATTCCATACAAACAAAATTTTATAAATAATTTTTTCTAAGTTTTTATCGTAAAAAATAAAGAGATTATTTTTTCTGAATAAATATTATTTTGATTGAAATATAAGTAGATTTTAAATATATATATAATCATTTTTAGTATTCAATATTTAGTATTCAGTATTCAATATTTATTTTTTTTTTCAATATAGAAAAATCATCATATAATGTAATAAATACTAGAAATTTTATATATAAATATATATAAATAATAAATATAAATATCATTTAACTTATTTGAACTATTATATATACTTACCTAAAGTACCATTATCACTGAAGAAAAAAATTGCGAATAGAGATAAAAATTTATATGTCTTCATTATTGAGAACCGCTACACGAATGTCGAGTTATTGTCCTGATAGATAGCTTTCACTCGATTACAATACGGTACTTTTATACTCGAAGGAAAAGAAAAAGTCGCACTCGAAGTCTAAAGAAAGATAGAGCTAAAACTTGTTGCTGAAGATTCTTGTACAATAAACGTGTGTATATATATATATATATATATATATATTTGAAACATCTCTATGAATAATGCCAAGATAAATAAATAAATTTCTGATAAATGATAAATGATAAAGGTAATTTTTTATTATTTAAAATTATTATTTAAAAACTTAAAATCTAATTGTAATATAATTTTTTTCTCTCCTTTTTACTCTTTTTAAAAGATCATCATGAGATTTTATATAATACAAATTTAAATAAAAAGAATAGAATTATATTAGTTGAATATTTTATTTATTGTTATTTTTAAAAAAATTAATTGCTCCAAATTTTCTGCAACCTTAAATGCAGTGTGTAATTCAGGTAATCTAACATAAGGGTTATATAAGCCGATTTTAATTGTCTATAATACTATGATAATACTATAAATTATTGTTTTTCTATTTTTTTCTTGTTATATATTTTCTTTATTTTGTTCTATATATGTTCTATATTTTGTTTTATCAAAAATTTATATAATTATTTAATTTTTTTTTATTTTTAGAAAAGCGTTATGTAAATGTATCTTAAGCATATATCTAAAGCATTTAAAGATGGCTGTACTCATAAATCATAATAGGTTAAAGTGTTTATATTAATTTTTTAAATTTGAATTAACTTTTTACAATGCCAGTTATACTTATGACTGGTATACCATGTAGTGGTAAAACAACAAGAACTTGCGAATTGAAAGAATATTTTATAAATGAAGCAAAAAAAAAGGTAGAAATTATAAATGAAATTGATGTTGTGACTAAAACAGGTTTTGATCGAAATAAATTTTTTGCTGGTTAGATTTAAATTTATTTTAATGTTTTTATATTAAAAAAAAAATTCATTCATCATCAATTTATTGCTATTTTACCGTAGATTCAAAAAACGAAAAAAGAGTGAGAAGCGATATAAAGTCATCAATACAACGATTATTAAATATAAATGATATATTAATTATTGATGCTAGTAATTATATTAAAGGATATCGTTACGAGATCTATTGTATGACAAAATTATACAAAACTCCTCAGTGTACAATATTTTGTAATATACCAGTTGAACATGCTTGGTTGTGGAATATAAAGAGACCAGAATATGAACAATATAACAGAGATATTTTTGATGCACTTGTAATGAGGTAATAAAAAAATATCATGGATTACTGTATTAACAAAATATAATTAGAGATTTATAATATATAGATATGAAGCACCAGATAATAAAAATCGTTGGGATATACCATTATTTAATATATCACCAGAAGATGAACTAAAATTTGATGATATTTATAAATCACTATATGAAGTAAAAGCACCAAAACCTAATTTAAGTACACAATGTGTTAGTATTAATATATATAATGAATTGATAATATAATTGATTAATATAATTTTCAATTTGTTTATTTTAGCCACCATTATCATCTACTAATTATTTATATGAATTGGATATAATTACTCAAGAAGTAGTTAACGTAAGTTGTTTAATAACATTTTATTAATAATTATAATAAAATTTGTAAATATTATAAAAAATGAAATACCATAAATGACATTATTATGATTAATTATAAATTGATATTTTCTTTTTTGATAAAGGCAATATTATCATCTAAACAATTAGGTATTGAAAGTGAATTTAAAATACCAAAATATAACTTGATAGTACATAATCCATGTACTGCAATACAACTTATGAGACTACGAAGACAATTTTTAATTTATAGTAAAATGCAACAAAGTGAAATTAATCAAATTGCATCATTATTTGTACAATATCTTAATAAAAGTTTGTAAGAAAAGATATTGGAATATTTAGTTATTATTTATATATATATATATATATATACACACATATACAAAGTGAGATTGAAGGATCAAATACATTTGAATAAAAATAATTCTAAGTGCAAAAATAAATCAAAAAAGAAAAAATATTTTATTTTTTTTTTTCAAGAAAATTGAGAAAAAAAATTGTTAAATAAAAAGAATTTTACAAATTCTTGAATAGATATGAAAGAATTGATTAAATTTATAAGAATAAATAAAAATCATAAAATTTTTTTTTCGAAAAAAAAAATGAAATTGAACAAAAATAATTATGTATTCAATGAATTTTTAAATTTAATTTTCTCGAAAATTATTTGAAAAATATCACATTATATTTATTTTTTATTTTCACATGTAAAATAATCTTATTATAATAATCTTTTATATTCATTCAGGAATTAACTAAAAACTTTTACATTTAATAATTTTTCAAAACAAAGTCTCAAATGAAAAGATATTATTCCTCTTTTTCAACTTATTCTTATATGAAAAATTATTATATGAAAAATCTCTCTTCTTTATATGAAAAATTATCCTTTATTTAGTTGTACCATTCAATCTTATTCTGTATATTTTAAAATAAAGTTATTTTTTTAAAAACAAATCTATTAATCTTTTTAAAAATATATTTTTCTAATAAAAATTATATTCTTACATTATTAGACCTATTTTATTTTATGATAATTTTAGCCTGTATGTATTTTGCGTTGTAAGATAAATTTTTGTTGCACAATATTACTGAATTCTTATTTCATGATAACATAATATATAAATTATATTACAAAAGAGCAATATTTGTGCGACTTCGATATTACATATTTCTGAAAGAATAGAAGAAATAACAAACACTAGAATTCTAGAATTGCACTTTCTTTATAATATTAATTTAACTCACAGAATTAGAAAAGACAATCGGTTTATAACATAAATTTAACAATAAATGAAATTTGTTTTTAAATCAATTGAAAAGGATATTGCATATAATGCACATGCAACCAAATTGACTTTTATTTCATATCATCACGATATTTGGTAAATATTTCAAACAATAAACATTAATGATATGCTAAATCACATACCTAAACTCAAAGAAAAATTGCAAAACTGTTATTAGTATTAAAGTAGAGTTATCATTTTGAACTTGAACAAACTTCTGTCGATATTTAAAAAAATAGCTACATTTTATTATCCAATTTATTAATAACAGAACAATTATATTTAGCAGTTATAGCGAAATAAAATTCTTGATAAAAAAATAGTAGTTCAACATTTATTTAACAATATTTAAAGATTTTTGTTATCTTTTCTAGATTCAAATTACCTAATATTGACTTGATTTATAGAGTATAACAGCTTTGCTTTATATTAGTAGTAATGAACCTATTATATAATTCATTTACAATTACATCAATTTCTTTTATATATAAAATACAGAAAATCGTCATTAATTAATTTTCTTGTTCTTGCATACCATTACTTTCAGTGCCATTTCTATGACTCATATTATCTATATGTCTTTTAGGTTTTCGACAAACGAAATATACGCTATTATATTCACACTGCAACATGCTATTAATGTTCTGTGCATATCGAGTTTTCACACGTGTTTCTTCTTTCTAAAAATATTGTAAATTGTGGAATTTGGTTAATTTTTTAATAGTTAATATTCTTTTACAAAATTCATACCTCTAATTGAAATCCAAAACCTTGAATTACATCGCGAACAACATCATAACTTGGTTCTATTGAATCTTCCATTGGCATATCACTAAAATGATATAATAATGGACCAAGATTTATCCATATTCCTCCTGGTTTTAAAATTTTATATATAGTTTCAATAAATTGTACAACATTATTTGCACAATCTATAAAAAAACATGTAGCAACGCAATCCCAATGATTATTTTCTGTATAAACCTAAAATATATAATATAAAATAAAAATTTAAAAAAAAATTTTTTTATCTTTTAATATATTACAATATTTACTTCAAGAAAATCTCCAGCTGCCATAGAAAATTGTGCATTTTCTGGAAGATCGCTAGGATTTACATCTGGGAAAAATACAGCTTGGGTTTGATGTTCTGGTTTTAAATTATTCATATATTGATGTACCCATGGATGTACTTGATATGAATTTACTCCTCTACATCTTTAAAAAGTATTAAATATTATTAATAAAAATCATTTCAAAAAGAATACAATTTTTACATTTACTTACTTATTTAATACAAAATGAGAAGCAAAGAGCATGAAAAGAGAAAATTCATTTCCTTGACAAGTATATCCACGTCTTGCAATTTCATATGCCAATCTTCCTAAACCCGCTCCAGGTACTAGAATTTGCACATCTGATGGTGTACTGGAAATTTACCTATCATTTCATACTTTTCTGAACTATGTTTTACTATACCACAGTAACTATTATAAATATCTGAATTATTTTAATAATATTTTATTGACACATAATGTGTTCAAGTTTAAGAGGTTCATACCAATATTCTAAAGGAAATTGATTCATAATTTCATCTATAATAGGCTGATAACATGCCATGCGTTCTTCGGTACCTTCCACACTCCAATCACGAACAAGTTGCTTAATTGTAGCTTGGACCTTTTCTTGATCAGCCATTACTGGACGAGGATTTAACGTCTGCAATCAGACCTACCTATATTTTGTACAATAGAATATACTTTTATAAAAAAAGAAGCTTGTTAAGATGATAAAAAAAATCCAAGCTTGAATGAGAAATAAATCAAATATTCTTTTTAGAAAGATAAATGTTATAATAAAATTCTTATGTATAAGATAGAAACTTTCCTTTAATGAAAATTATATTAGTAATTAAAAAACTATATAATTTTAAGATTTCAATTTTCAATAAGAAAAAAAAATATTATTTAATAATATAAATGTAAACATTTTGTTTATGTTTTATATGGTTATATGGAATAAATTAATCATAATTTTAAAAACATATATTGTACAACAGAATATATGTACCACACACCAGGTGAACTTTTCTTACACTTTCAGTCTGTGCAGTAGTTGGGCTCACATTTTCAAAAATATGTGCTACATCCTTAATGATAAGTTTAATTATCTCATCATTATTTTCAATACACCTTTTAACTTCTTGCAAATGTTCTCTATATTTTGATAATAATTTTTGATGATGAGCTGGAAGTGATAGCAAATAGGATTCTGTTTTTTTAACCCTTAGTAGTGAATGATTTCTGTAAAAAGAAAACTATTATATAAGTAATATTTATAGTATTGATATATTTGTAAATTTTACTATTTATTTTAAGTTATACAATCATGATTTTAAAATTTATTTAAGCAGAACAACAATAAATAAGTTAAACAATAATATTTTATCTAAGAAATTACATTATTGTAAAAAATTAAAACAATTTCTATGATCATAAAATAATTATAAAATTGCAAATAAAATATAATACAATGCCTTATCATTGAAGGTTAAGCAATGATATTAAGAATTTTGAACGATAATTGAAAAATTATGAAAGACATTTTATAAACTTATCACAAGTACTATGTTCAATGAAAAAAGCAAAAGAATACAGGCAATAAAGATAAGAATGAAACATCGACTTGAGGATTAGAGTCAATCAAACAAAATAATTTTCATGATATACTTACTTGTAATACTTAAAAGCTGAGACAATACGTTGAAAGTGTTTTCTCTCTTCCTCATCTTCATAAGTGTCGTGCATTTTTTTTGGATAAGGATTCGACATTGTTTCCATTTTTATATTCGAATGTGAAACTTAGTATTTTAATAAGTTTTTTAGCACGACTTTCAGTGGCGGCTTTCTTCATGCACGCGTTATGACGCATTCACATTACTATGATAAATCATTGGTTAAGGCTGTATCGACAGAAAATTTTATTTATCAAAAATTAAAATAAATTAACTTTTTATGAGAAAATCGAAATTATATTTTAAATGTCAAAAAATAAGATTATTTAATTGCATAAAGCATAACTTTTTTAATAAATTTTATTTAGTGTTTTTACAAATTATATAAAATATTTTAATAAATAATTTAGATATACACTATAAATCATATAAAAACAAATGTATTTTGAAACATCTTATGTTTTAAATACAAATTAATAAAGTAACAAATTTAAATTTTATACATTTTATTAATTATAAAAAATAAAAATTAAAAGAAATTGAATTGTATTGAATTGTAAACTTATATAACTGTATAATTTAATTTTTTTTTAATTTTTACAATTATAAAGAAATATAAAACAAATAATTTATTTTAAAAGAAAAACTATAAAAATAAATTTTACTTTTAAAAAAATTCTAATTTTTTATAATGATATAAAAAATTACAATTTATAAAATAATTATAAATTACTCTACAAAAATAAATCGTATATTTAAAATTTATTAGGAATCAATAAAATTTGATTAATATTTCTTACGATAATCCGACATTATTTTTTTTTTAACGTAAGAAATTTAAATAATTTGTTTATCATGATTACAAGCAATAGCAAAATATAACTTCTATATCTGCAAAGTTTCTATAGCTGTTGCAAATTGCAGGTAGGACATGGTTGTCCACGCCGTTTTTAAAAGGAGTTCAGTCGCTAATCAACTGCGGTAGGATACACTTGGGACCTTATCGCAAACATCGTATAAAACTTGCGACTTTTCCGCGTTAGAGTCGCTGTATGAGACATTTCGCGATGATGACAGTGTAAGAAATTTGTTATACTCTTTATTAAGTGTATAGCGGGGGTGTTATTAGACATATTCGTAGCAAGCACCAACGCAAGAAACATGTCTAGTGTACCACAAATGTCTAGTGGGCTTAGCAAGCTCAAAAAGAAACATTTCCGAGTTAAACATCAAAAGGTTAAGCTGTTTCGTGCAAATGAACCTCTTCTTAGTGTTTTTATGTGGGGTGTCAATCATACGGTGAGTACTAACATAACTGCGTGACAGCGTCGCACGTCATCGAAATGCCATTTTCTTGTTTCCCTCTTTGAACCTGAATATAATTAAAAATTTAAGAAAACGATATGTTATTTTGTTTGATTAAATTATTATATCTTTTATCATTTTTTCAGATTGAGAATTGTTAAAATTAAAAACGTACATTGAAAACGTGGGGTGTACTATTTTTTTTTTATGATTTGCAAAGTATTCTTGAATTTTAAACTTAGATTTATAAAATAGAAATATGGCAAATTTTTTTTGTCAACAATTAAATATAATAAACAATTTATATTATATATAATTTATATTTTAGCAAAATATTGTATAATTTTATTTATATTTGGATCGTATTATGATTTTTATAATTATATCTTGTTTATTTTGTATGAAAAAAATTTAACTGATTAATTTATGCTTTATTTATAAGAAATACTCATTATTATAGAAAATTAAAGATTATTTAAGTAAATTATTATTATTACTTTTTAAAATTTAATTATTTTTTTGATATAATAAAAAGTAATACAAATAGACATGCAATTATTTCCATATAAGTGTAGATGATGACATCTATGATATAAATATATAATTTCAATTTATGAAAATTACATGATAAAATATTAAAACATTTTGGCAAATATATATATAAATAAATATTTTAATAGAATTTATATGCTTATATTTTTAATCTTTTTTAGTAAATTTTGAAATAAATATTTAATTGCATATTTGCAATAACAATTTATATAGGAAATAATTATATTTATGTAATTCTTATATTTAATAAATTTATATTTCAGATAAATGAGCTTAGTCATGTTAACATACCAGTAGTACTCCTACCAGACGATTTCAGAGCTTATAGCAAGTTAAAAGTGGATTATCATTTTTTTAATAAGTAAGTTTTATGATATTATATCAAGATATTTTTTAATCTAAAATTATCAAAATGATAAGAATTAAAAGAAAAGTATCAAATCTAAATGAAATTGATGAGTTCGATATAAGGTTAATGTTTTATCTAATATTAGGATAAAATTATTAATCTAAATGTAAAAGCAAGCATAACTGGTCTATTCTAAATATATCACTAAATACTGAATTAGTAGGTTGGTCACTGCTTTTAATAATAGAATCAATGAAGGTCTTTATGATTCGTGATTGTGGTTAACGATAAAGATATTCATAGCTTCATTTCTTAATTTAAAAGGTATTTTAATAAATATGTATATTTTAATAAATAAAACTTTTTGTGGAAATTATTAAATAGTTAGATGTATAAAATTTTGTATTATATTATATATTATATAATACAATGTTATATATGTATTATATATTAAAGATAAATATTTTTTAAGAAAGTCTTTTCATGTATATATATTTTTGTTTTAGGGAAAATATGCCTTCTCATTTTACGTTTAAAGAATATTGTCCATTAGTATTTAGAAATTTACGAGAAAGATTTGGTATAGATGATTTGGACTACAAGGAATCAATGACAAGGTAAAAGATAATCTATTTCATATTCTTTGCTTTTTAAGTAAATTAATATTCTTGTAAAAAATATGTTTTAAATTTATTTTAGAAAATAATTAAAAAATATTCATTATAAAATTCAATATTTATTTAATTAAGATATATTATATAAATAAAAAGTAAAACATGATTTTACTTTTTAAATTTTAATTTTATTTCGTTGCACTGCATGTTAAAGATATGTTTTATTCTATGTATTCTATAGCTTTATGTATAAGTTTCTATAAGTATGATACATATATCAATTATTTGTATGTATTATTAAAATTTGATAAATATTTTTGTTTCTGCAATGCAATATATTTATTTATTTATAAAGTATTACAGATGGCTTTATTTAATACAATTTTAAATGAGGATAATCCATTTAAATGATAAGTAAACCATAATTTTTTCATAGTATTTGAGACCACTTTTATATTGAAATATCATAAAAAGTATATCTATCATATCAAATTTTTAATAAAATAAAGAAAAAATATTTTTAACTCTAATATAGTCTTAAATATAATGAAAAAATATATATTAACAGGTAACATATTAGTATTGTGACTAACATATTTCAGAATATAATATTTAGTATATTATATTGCAATTATATATAAATAGTATATAATTTCTATACTTATATATAGAAACAGTAAATTTCTTTTATTTCTTTATGTATAAAAAATACTTTTCATTTGAATATAATATACAAATATTGTTAATGGTAAATTGTAATACAAGAATTTTGATACTAGATGTCGGGCATTTAATCCTTCCCTATCAGAGAGGCATTGGAATTTGGATAAGAATGGGAAGACTCATAAATTGGTTCAACATTCTGCTACTACTCCTTCAATAACTTTTTCTCCTCCTCCTGTTCTTTCACAAATTCCAGTCCTAAGTAAACCATTACTACGTTCCTACAGTTTTAAACCAAAGCGTCTGAGGTTAGCCAGACTTGATTTTTCATTTTGTGCGTGTTGCTTGTGGCTAACACGTTTTCATGAGATCTTCATTAAATATAAAAAATCAAATTTTAAAGGAACATAGTTAATTGTATACAACATTCTTGTATAGTATTATGCTATTTCATGTAAATTTATATCCATAATTAAATGTTTGTAAACAATACATATTTTGTGAAGTTATTCAAAATTAAAGCATGAATTTCTTTTAATATCCTTACTTGGATATAATATTATATTGGATTAATATAATATTTATAATATTATTTGTTTTTATTATACAATAATATGCTATGTGTATAATATCATTATGAATTAATTAATTATTATGCTTAATAATTATTTATTTATTTTTTTTATATATGCATGCTAACATATACAGCAGAAATAAATTAATAGTGTTTTATGAAATTACAAAAAGAAGAAGATTTTGGTTGCTAGAAATAATTAATTTATTATGTTATTATGCTAGGCCAATATTTATAGGAAACAAAAAAATTATTATTATTTTTATCTTTTTTAGATCACAACCTATATTAGAAGACTCATCTGGAAAAAGTGGTGCAAAATTTTATCAGTCTTATGATAAATTGTTTATTATTAAAACTCTTACAGGAGAAGAAGTAGAAAGAATGAATTCATTTTTAAAACATTATCATCCAGTATGTAGAAATTATATTTTATATATATTTATCATATTATTATTATATATTATTCCATATAACAATTCTACTTTTATAGTATATTGTGGAAAGACATGGAAAAACTTTATTACCTCAATATCTTGGCATGTATCGTTTGACAGTAGACGGAGTCGAACATTACGTCGTTGCTATAAGAAATGTATTTTCAAATCATCTAACCACTCATAAAAAATTTGATCTCAAAGGTTCAACTGTAGATCGTGAAGCTTCTGATAAAGAAAAAGAAAAAGATTTACCTACTTATAAAGATAATGATTTTGTTAAAGAAGGAATGAAAATTTATATTGGTGAAGAAGCAAAAACTAAACTTATAGAAACATTAAGTGCTGATGTTGATGTGAGTTTTATTTTTTTTATTTTATTATTTATTATATGTAATTAATTGTAATATATAATATGTTATATTTATATTTTATATATTTATATTTTGTCTGTTATATTTATTGAGGAATCAATTATTATAGTTTTTAACAAAGTTGCATTTAATGGATTATTCTCTATTACTTGGGCTACATGATTGTGCACGAGCTGAACAAGAAAATAGAGAACGTGCTGAGAAAGAGGAAGAAGAGGATAATCATGAAGAAGAAGATGATAGCGAATCGGGAAGTGGGCTTGATTCACGAGGTCCAATGGGAGAGTATGTTTCAAATATTATGATATTAAATATTTTATATAGATATTTTATTTTCAAAATTTATATTTAATATTCTTATAGTCGTTTATGGGGTTGGAGTGGCGTTGCAGGTATGACAACTCCTCCTGAATCGCCACATGCCGCATTAATGCGCGATACAAGCTTACAATATGAAGATGCAATAATTCCTGAATTAGATATTTATGCAATTCCTAGTAAAGAAGGTAAGCAAAAACTAATATTTTTAGAATTAATAGAAATAAAATTAACTAAATATTTTGAACTTAAATTAAACATTTGAATCTTATTTTTTTCAGGTGCACCTACTAAGGAAATTTATTTTTTAGCCATAATTGATGTGTTAACTCATTATGGTGTACGTAAACAGGCAGCAAAGGCAGCTAAAACGGTGAAGTATGGTGCTAATGTTGATGGTATATCAACCTGTGATCCAGAACAATATGGCAAGCGATTTATAGAGTTCATGAGCAAAGCTATAGAATAAGCTCCTTGTTCGTTGTTGTTAAGCTTGTAAATTTGGACCGCTTGTTTGAAAGTCGTGATGATACTATCGCTTCTTATTATGTTAACATTAAGTGCATTGCATTTGCACTTTGATGTTTGATCATAAAAATTTTTATTTGATATGTCAGTACTGTTGATTATATATTTCAGTATTCCTTATGACATTTACAATTGAATTAGAAGCATAACCAAATTTTAAAGATTATAGACTCTTAGAAAATCTGTTAAAGATTTTTTTTCAGAAAATGTTTAATAATTTTTATAATCAGATATATTTTCGTAGTATTTAATTATTAATTTCTTTATATTCAATTCTTTATATTCAATTATTGATTCATATTCAATTCTTTATATTGAATTATTCTCTACGTTTAATATTATTGTTTTCTTTTCATATTTTTTATTTTTTGTTTATGTTATTCATAATTCCAAAATATGAGACTTAACTTAATTTTTGTGCATTATGTGTTCAAACAAGACGTGATGAAAGTTTTCTTTATTGCACATAATCTTTATTTTATAAGATTGTAATTGGTATAGTTAATATTATATTCAAAAACAAATTTTTTACATACATTTGTTAATATCTTTTTGTTGCATTAATTAATATATAAATAATGCTAACAAAAAAATGTATTGTATATTATTTTTGATGCACATAATGTGCTATAAAAGCTGTGTCATTTGGCAGTAAATAATATGTAAACTAGTTTATTGAAAAATATTAAAATGAATGTTGATGTTAAATATGATAATCTCAAATGAAGCATGGTTTAGTATTTTACGAAGAAAGCCTATTTATGAGAGTCTCTCCGATTTCATCAAAATAAATTATATTGCTTCTAATCTAGTGTCTGTGGTGTCGTCTGGAATGTTTAAATATCCGAAGTAGAATATAACAGTTTTTACAGTGAGAATTTTCTTTTTTAGTAGGTCTAAAAGGAGGAGAGAAGTAATATATTATATGCGCAAAAGATACTATAGTATAAGAGCTTCAAATGTTAACAAATTATTAGTAAATGTCAAAGTCTGTAAATGTCATTGGTCATTTCAGTTACCGCGAGTCGATGTTAAAATCATCGATTCGTTTATTTAGCGAAGTACATTTACAGGGAACAAAGCAAGTTGTATGTATTATGCACGATTCATCTCTCCTTTCATGTTCAAATTCATACAAATTTAAAATAAAAATTAGCTAATGATGATTTTATTAAGAAATACAATATATATATATACACATATATATATATATACACATAAAACATTGCGAGTAATTAAGAAATCAATACTGTTACATAGTGAATTCTCTTATTACTTATAAGTTTTATGTGTGTGTGTGTGTGTGTGTGTATATATATATATATATATAAATATATATATATGTATTCATTTACACATATATTTTTTTAATATCTTGAATACTAATTTGTCTTATTTATAAGAAAAATTATTTAATTAAAATACATTCATATATTTTTTTAGTATACAAATTTTGTAGAATCTATTTACTGATAATATTAATTCTAAATTCATTTTTAAACAATTTATATATTATAAAATAATATGTATATATCTTTATAGTATTCAATTCTCAATATGTCAAACTTCGCTATAACTAATAAATTTGGTTAATAATTTCATTTTCAAAAACGTGCTAATGCAACTTTTTTATTTGATAAATTTATTTAATATCAGATAATTTCTCATCAATTATATTTTAAAAACATATATCATTATATTATATAAAGGAGAATATACCGTTGCATAATACTATATTTTTAAATGATTTAATAATCAATTTTTTATAATTTGTTAAAATTGATCATAATATAATGACTAATTACTTTAACTAATTAAGGTATTCATCTAGTCTCGATACTTTATATGATTTATATACATTACCAAACATTGGAATAACAAAAGTAAATGAAAATGCATATTGCCAATAAAGCTGTATTATAAGAATGGTTATAAAAATGGTTACATAAAAATACGCTCAATTTCTGTAATGATATAGATTCTATAAGATAAAATACAAATTGTTTTCTCAATTACAATTTATTACTATACAGTAACAATTTTTTCAATTACATTTATTACCATTATTATTACAGTATTGATTCGATTTGCAAAGTTTTAAGTTGTTTAAAATTTATCCAAAAAATTAATTATAAATTCAAAAGCATATAAATTTGTAAATCGTTTACTTAACTAAATTACAAGAAAGATTTTGATTATTTTTCAATTTAAATTTTCGCAACTCGCACCATGTAGAAATGATGTATATATTCATTACTTTGCTGTTGGCAGTACATATCCAGGCTTCTGTCCTAACATTTGTATTATTCACAGAGTCTGTGTTGTATAAGCTACGGGAAATAAATGGACATTTAACATAAGACATTTAAGAAATTATAAATAAAAAAATATTAAAGTGTATGTTGAATTTTATTTTATAATAAGCTCTAAATGAATCATTTTTTAAGTAAAAAATATTTGTTATAACAATATAATTACATAGATTAAACTAAAAAATATTTTTTTTTTTTTATATAAAGTAATTTGCTAACAAATGATATATATTTTACCATCAAATGAAACAAAAATATATCGAATAATTATATACTTATAACTTATTTGTACTTTAGTTATTGCATAAAAAAATTGAAGAAAATTTTATTTCTTCACATCTTTGGTTTTTATATCTGCATTATCTATATATCTTATTTGATTTGTCAGATATTTGAAAATAAAACAATAAAATACAAAAATTTTTTTAATAAATTATACGCGAGGTTTTTTTGAATTGTTTTCTTCTGAATCACAATAACTTTTTTGAGAAGTAGAATTTTTTTCGGGGCTCAAATAACTACTACGTTTTCTTCTTGCAAGCAATGAAACTTGTTTCAAATGTTCCATATCATTAAATACCACTTGAGCTCCTCCTCCACTAGTTGGTAATATATCTCCCTATTATTTAGAAATTTTATTATTTTTTAAATAATAAATATAATTAAATTATCTATAGCTTATTAATGCTAACTTTGTATAATTTAGTTTCAAGTTCACCATCTGTATCTTGTTCCTGTGCGACAAGGCAATATCTGGATGCTTTGTTTGTAATATCTTTCGGATCTGTTAATTGTGTGATACTTCGTTTATTTCGAATAACTGGTTGAAAAATGGTACCAACCGGAACTAATCCAGGAGGTCGATGATCAATCCATCTCTCTGCACTTTGTGATCTTCTATAATGTAGATTTACTACTGGTATTCTATCCTAAATATTAATAAAGGTAATACAATTTTATACAAATATAAATATATGTTATATGAAATTGTAATTATAATATTTACTTTTCTACTTAATCGGTTATTATAATCATCAAATTTAACCGTTGAAACAGCTTTTGTCATAATTTTTGGTGTAGTTGTAGAAAGTGTAGCTTCTGAAATACTACTTGGAGTAGTTGTAATGATTTTTGATGTTGTAGGTATTTCAATTTCATTTTGTATTTGAATTCTTTCTTTACATTCTAATTTATTTTTTGTATCTATTTCATCATCACTTATTAATATCTGTTTCATTAATTTCAATTTATCTTCTTTTTCTTTCACTTGATTCTAAATAAATATTTAATAAATTAATAATATAAAATAGTAATAATATAAAATATATAAACGTATCATAATGTACCTGAAGAATTTCACGTTGTCTGCGAAGTTTGCTTTCTAATTCTTTACTCATTTTATCAGTTTCTGCTTGAATTTTATTACTATATTTTTCTTTTACTTTTTGCTTGTCTATTGCACGTTGATTCAATAACATATTTTTGTTTTGTAACTATAAAAAATTTTTTCAATTATTAAAATTATTTTATTTGATAAAAATACAAATAAATAATAATATAAAAAAAAAGTTACTTCTTGCTTCATATGTCTGATTATGTCATTTGCACTATTTAATCTGTATAATAAAGTATCAATTTGTGCTTCTGTTTTACAAATATGAGCTTCCAAAGCAGATATCTATAATAATTTTTTATCTATGTAATATCATTAATAATTTTACAATAACAATTATGATTTTAATTCTTCGTGTAAAGACTTACTTTTTTTTGTCGTTGATCATTTGATGCTTTCAATGTAGAATTTTCAATTTTTAATGATACATTTTCCCGTTCCATTTTTACTAGCATATTTCTAAAATTGGTTTCTAAAAAAACAAATTTGATATAAATTTTTTGAAAAAAGCAATATTTTTTTAATCTTATAATACTTTTAAATATTACGTTTCTGTTTCAGATCTTCTTGCAAAATATTTCGTTTTTGAATACGCAATTCTAAGAAACGCATAAGTGTAGTGATTATTTCATCATTATGTGGATTTGTTATATCCATTTCTGGAAATGGTCCTCCAAGACTAGAAAAAAATTTATTACACAATAAAATAATTTTATTATTATTAGAGGATAATAAGAAAATAAAATTACTTATGTATTAAAATCTATATACTATACCTATATACTAAACCCAAATCAACTTCTAAATCAGCTGCAATAGGATGACCAGCACTTTCTAATCTATTTCTTGCTTCTTTAAATATCTATTAAAAAATATAAAATATAAAATATTTGTGGAATGCCTTTAAGAGATTGATTATCTTAAATTGGTTTTAACTTGATAAATAAGTTTCAATCGCTATCTTTATATATTAATTTATATTTGGTTTTTAAAATCGATTTTTTAAAGATATCATGTATTAAATTAACATACTGCATACAAACTTTTTATTTTCTTACTTTATTAGCTTGTCTTCTACCAGGTGCATATCCTAAATCTAATTTTGAAGTTGTAGAATTTGTAACTTGTACTTCTTGACTAACTTCAGCAAACTTTAATACTTGCTATTTGGAGTAGTTGTATATATGAAGAAAAAAAAAAAGATATTCACATAAGTAATTTATATTTCAAATATTATTCAAATTTAAATGTGAATGCTTACAATAGTTTCATCATAATCATCGACACTAGGATTAACGCAAATGATCATTCTAACATTTCCTTCTCCGTCAAAATAATTTTTAAATAAATGTGTTATTTTAGAATCTCGATAAGGGACTATTTTATTTGTACCTTGAGTTTGATTTTCACGAAGTATTTCCAAACAAGTACGCAGTGTCATTAGCGAATTATTTATATTTCCTATTATATATAAATTTAATAAATTATTATATATTATATATTAATATAAAAATAACATAATTATAATATATAATAGAATATTTTAATATTATTTTTAATATTTTAAAATTACCTGCTTCTCTGAGTCTTTGTCCAGTATTTTTCGAGCGATTTGTACGTTCACTTCCAGCTAAATCTACTAAAGATAATTGACTAATACAAATTACTTGTTTATTTTGAACAATTTGTTCACCATCCTTATCTAGTGGTGCCTAGTAAGATATTAATATTGCAAATATAAAATGTTTACATTATAATTAAATTATATTACCTGAACAAGTCTTATAGTAAAAACACTGTGAGATCTACTTGATTCTGCATTAAGATTAGTATATGCAATATGTCTTTTACATTGACCACGTTGAAATATTTCAAATGCTTCTTCTGAACTTTTTACTTCTATTTCTGTACATCCATGAACATACATATTTCTATTTCCATCTTCACGTATAATTTTACTCTGTAAAGTTCTGAATTTTTTGATGTTTTAATAAATTTTATAATATTTTATATAATTTCTTAAAATTTATACTTACTTTGTCTTCCCTTCATTCTCATCTAATAAATCATATACACTGTTATTATAAATTTCAATATATGTTACAAAAACTGCATATGCATTATCTTCATCAATAACTAATGTTTGAGATTCATTACTTAAATTTAAGATATTTTCATTGCTAAAATTATTTCCATCTATTTTACATCTTTGAAAAATATACAAAATATTAAAACGTCACAGTAAATATAATGTAAATAAATTTATACTTACATTTTAGAAGTTTTTCCATTGTAAAAAGTAACGAATCTTTGAAGTTCATTTTGTCTATCTAACAATGCATCAGCTTCACTTTGTATATCAAAACCATTTAATTTATCAGGTTTAAAAACAAATTTCTTTGTTTGACAATTTGCTATACTGTTAAAAATAACATCTAAACTACGAGGCATGATACCTGCATCATGTGTACCAGACATAGTATAAGTTTTACCACTTCCAGTTACTCCATATGTGAAGAGTAAACTATTTTTGCCATTAAGAAGATTTTCAACAAGTGGCAAAGCTACAATATTAAATACTTCTCTTTGAGAAGTATTGGGACCAAAAACGTGACTAAAACACGTTTGAATAGCTTTGTTTACATTACGAACATTCGTTATTGATTCTGATGGAGTAATAACCAAGGCTGTATCAGAAATAATTTTCATACAAGATACATCATTAGAGTGAACTATTGGTCTTAAACGGCAAAAAACTCTAACAGGCTCTTTAGATGTATCATTGTCGCATTTTGCCCGGTTTCCATGCTTTCGTGTTGCAACAGGTGGTTTTATATTTCTAATTGAAATCAAATAATATAAAGTTTTTATTGAAAATTATATTTACAACAGTTTAAATTGTTAAAGCGATTGTAAAAAAATTAAAATTAAAGTAACAATACGAAATTGCAATAAATTTATTAAAAGTATCGAAAACTTACGCAGATTTCATTATAAAACCAATTAATGAACACGAAATAACTAAATAAAATTTATTTTATCTAAATTACAATTATCTAAAAATTGTTTATAATTAGTTTAACATTCTATTTGTTGTAAAACTCGTTGCTTACGATCGCACAACACATGTTTAAAATTCAAACATAAAGTGAAGTCAGCAGATAAGCATTTAGATTACTTATAGCGAATTTTCATTTATCGATAGAAACATTGAAAATTACATACATGGATTAAAATTTTTTATGAATCGCTCGTAACATTGAAAAGAGGAAATTAGGATTTTGTCGGGGAAAATTAAATCATTTATAAAATTTAAAAAAATAAAAATATATATTTCTTATAATTAAAATTATATTGAACAAAAAATTTGTTTACTAACAATTGAATTATTGCTTTATATGTTTATATTATTTCTTTGGTACAATATTTTCATTTAAATGTGTACCATCACAGAATGGTCGATTTGATGTTTGTTTACAATTACAGAGCCAATAATCTTTGGTTTCCTTAACAGTAAAACGTATAGGTTTTTGTTTAATTTGAAGAAATTGATTTCTATGAGTACCATCGCAAAATGGTTGTTTATTACTTCTACCACATAAACACCATGAATATATTTTACCTGCTATACAAGTATATTTGAAGGGTTTATGATCATATACAACACCATTAGTAACTTGATCATTTGCACTATAATATTGTTTTAATGGATTTGTAGGAATTTCCATATCATCTTCTACTTTCTTACAATAATATCTAATCTGAAATATAATTAATATTTGCATATTAGAAGAAGAAAAGAAAGAAATTTTGTTATTTTGTTAAATATTAATGTATTTAATTTATTTTTTTACTTCTAGTATAATTTAATAACTTATTTTTTTTAATTTTTATTATTAAGAATATGTTTTAAGAGACAAAAGGTTAAAGTTACTATAAAAGAATAGGTTAAGAATGTTATAATAATAGTAAAAAAGTAAACGTAAAAAAATATTATAATAATTTAAATTAGATTTAATTTATTTTTAACTTACATATCGATGTTTCGAAATAAAATGTACAAATTGTCGAATTTCCTTTAAAATTAAATACATGATTGATACTTGATATTATAATCGTATAATCTTGATATACCTTAACAAGAACAAGTTACCAATATATTTTTATAGGGATGTTTTATTACATTATGTATACCAATTTTTATAAATATATACGATAAATTGCAAAATTTAAATATTATATATTTTATTAATATGTAATATTCAATTTATTTCATAACTCAATCAAATTCAGAAGAATTTATCAATTTTATACTTAATAATTTTTTAATGTATTCATACTTTTTGAAATTATAAAAAAAAATATCTGTATGATATACAAAAGATAAAAAAATATGTAAAATATATATATATATATATACACGATAAACAGAAAAAATAATTTATACATGTAATTATATATATATATATATATATATATATATATTATATATACATCATATATATGTAAAATATATAGAATTCTTCATTTATATTTGCATATAAGTTTCTTTATGATATTTCTCAAACAACTATTTGTTAATATTATAGAATGTTTTTTTTTTATAAAGTTCTAAATGACTAATTTTTTAATCAATAAATTAGGCGACAATTAAAAAATTTGAATCAGCACTATCTCATATTTAGATATCCAAAGCTTCGATTTGTTATTACTATAGCAGAATATAAAAAGAGATATTTGATATTTGAAATAAAGAAAACAATACTATGCAAGAAAGATAAAAAGTATCTCTTCCTACTTCGAAGATACTACTTCATGAAAAATTTATTAATTATTCGTTTTTTATTCAAAATTTCAAATAAGTTTCTCAAATCAATTTTAATGTAAAATTAATTTAAGTATTTATTAACGATTAACGCATTTTATTTCTAATGCATCAAAGATATATTAAAAATTAATTAATTTGTTTCTTAATCAAAATTTTTGTACTTTCAAGCTTGCACTTCAAGTTAGAACTTCAGGCAAATTTTTTTTATTAATTTAATGTGAATTTTTTTTCAAATAATTGTTTAATAACAATTAATATATGTTTTAATATATCGAACATTGAACATTTGTTTTTAACTTTTATACCTTTAAATTTTAAAGAAATTTTAAAAATACGAAAAATTTATTCGAAGATCTAGCTTGAAAGTGAAAAAATTTTGAATAATTATCAATTTTTATTATAACATCTTTGATACATTAGAAAATATTAGACGCGTTAATTGTTAATAAATAATTAAAGAAAAAAAATTTTAATTTTAAAATCGATATGAGAAACTTTCAAGATTGAAACTCAAAAATACTAAAATTTTAGTAAGTAAAAAACGAATAATTAATAAATTTTCTATGGAATTTCAAAGTGGAAGAAGATACTTTTTATCTTTCTCGTACAAGGTTATTTTCCTTGTATCTGATATCGAATATTTTCTTTCATTTTCTGTTATAGTAATAACAAATTAAAGTTTCGAGTATTCAAACGCGAGATGGCGCTAATCAAAATTTTTCAATAGTTACCTAACTTATCGATAAAATGTATTCATTTAAAAATTTGTAAAAAAAAGAAATAGCAAAAATTCCATAATCTTGACGAATAGTTGTTTGAAAAGTATCAACAAAAATATAAACAAATCTGTATTCAACTAAAGATGAAAGATATGACAGAAAAAAATATGTAAAGTATATCGTAAAGTAAAAGGATAGTAACAAAATAATATATATAAAATAGATTATAAATGAAAGCATAAGATATATAAAATATACATGCAACATAGAAATGAAACATAGAAACAAATATATTGTATATTTATTACTGTATATTACTGTACATTATACTTATATATAGAAAAATTAATTTATTTTGTCTTTTGAAAAAATATTTTTATTATTTAAAAGATGGCATTGATTATCAATTTTCATATATAGTATCTCTCTCAACTTTTGTTTCTATCTTATTATTTTGTTTTTTGTCTAATCTATTGATAACTATTCTTAATAGAATCTATTCGATCATCTATTCAATTTTATATTTTATTTCATTTTCATTATTCATGAAAATAATACGAATAAATAGATTAGAGAGAATAAAATAAAATGTCATGAAAAAATTAAATATTTATCTTACAATTAATATAGAAATTTTAATGTTTAAAATTATTTAAGTTACTAATATTATACTAAATTTTTCTAGTTTAAATTAGATAATGTATTTTTCATTATATTATATTACATATCACAATATAATAATCTTATTAAGATTGTAGCTACGTTTAATTTTTGTAGTGATTACATTAATTTTTCATAAGAATTTTTTTATGCCATTAAACATAATTCGTATATTACACTAAACACAGAAAATATCAAAATATTTTTATTATATTGAAACTATTAAAATTTAAATTTAAATTTACATTTTAAAATTCATAGATTAAATAAATAGATACATATATCAAATATATATGTTACATCATAAAATTTAAATTTTTAAATTTTAAAAAAATGAAAATATAATTAAATTTTTTCACATTTCAGAATCATTGTACAATGATGTGTCTAAAATATAATAAATTGTGGATAAAACAATCTTGATTTGTTCGTGCAGTTGATTCATACTATACATAATTCAATCAGAAAATCATGAAGTACTCTTCAAAATACAACGCGCATGGCAAACAATTCCACTTAACAACCATTTATCTACGAAACGTCAACTTGCTGATAGAAAGTTGATATATATTAAAAAGAAGGTTATCGAATTTTCTCTCTTTTTCTTTTTCTCAGCTCTTTCTTTTTTTTAAATGTTTAAATCTAGCAGTTTTATCACTAAGAAAAGTACAAGAATTGAACTTGTTTTAAAAAGTAAGTAATTCTTTAAGCTTTGAATTCGCATGTTTCAGGCATACCAATCTTAAAGAATCAATTTTTCACTGCATTGCTCGAGAATATTTTCAATTTTTTGCTTCATTTTAATATTGTTCTCGAGACAAAGATACATAGAAATCTATGAATTTATTAATACTATATATAATAAATTAGAAAGAAAGCAAATTTTAGTTAAATTAATTAGTTTGATATATTATTAGTTTAACGGATAAAAATATTTTCAGATATTCAAGAGGATTCAGACAGTTAATAATAATAAAATCATAAAATCATATATTGATTAAAAAATCATATATTGATAAAAAATTCTTAGCGAAAATTACCGAATGGAATATGAATAACATATATTATTCATTTTTGATGTTATATATTTTTTAAAAAATTTCGAATATAATTACTAATATAAAATCTTAAGATTCATGAATATCTAAAATCAAAAAATATTCAAAAATATCAAAAATATCGAAATACTCATGAAAATAATATATTAATACGTTTTAGAATTTCAAAAGTAAAATAAATTATAAATATTTGTGAAATATATTATTTTAATATATAAATATATATATATTTTTTATCAATATTTTAATGTCTGTCGAAGCAACATTTTTTCTCAATGAAATTAATACAATTAAAAAAATTATATCCTTCTATATATAGAAAATTATAAGAATTTTTTCTAATTAATTACATCCGCAATAACTTTGTTCGATAGAAACGGATTCTTCCAAGTTTCCATTCTTTTTCAGACACTTGAAAAGTTTTAATCAAATGCATGCCGTTTCTGTTGGCGTTTCCCTTTGACCAACGCGACCAGATGAGGAGGCGAGCTTTTCTACACAGCGACACAGGTGAATGGCCGACAGGTGAAAAGCCGAGAGTTTGAATAAAGCACGAGCTGAATTACGGGAGAATGAGCGATCCAACGTCAAGAGCTTGTAGGGAGCGTCATATTGCTCAGAAGAGACGGAAGATAACTGTGCCCAGGAAGAAAACTCTGAAGGAGTTTTTCGAGTATATATTTCTGCAAAATAATAAACATTGTTTTACAAACATCCAGTTCGAAGTATATATTAAAGATTTAATTTAACAAAGAGAATAGTTTGTTTTAATTAATCAATTATATTACTCATCATATAAGATATAATTCATTTTCAAATTGTCAAATCTCCGAAAAATAGAAAAGTTATTACATTTTTTTCTAAATAATTTAGGACCCAGTACTATTTTACCAAAGGCCATGAACACATGGGAGAAGCCAGAAATGTTCTCGAGGAGCAATGTTTTTTCGTTTATCCTCCTTGCTCTCTCATGTTCGCTTACTTTCAATACTGGAAAGCGAAACAACGTACTACAGATAAGGAAAAAAGGGCGCTTTCCAACACCAAAACTTTACAACAGCTTTTACGATCTCTTCGCGTAAGCTATTCTTCGATATACCAAACACAGTTCTACAATAATCTTTACTTTGCAATTAAAAAAATAGAAGGATATTCCAAAAATGTCGGATTTCAATTATCAGTTACAACAATGAAAAACTATTCATTCTTTCGATTGTTCGATTTCAAAAGAATTTCCTTAGATTGAAAGTTTATACGATTATTGTTACTTTTGCCAAGGTGGACGTGGACATCGAAGCCTTGGATGCAAAAAAGCACAAAGATTTGGACGAAGCTATAGCCATCACCGATGTGGATCCGCGTTACTTTTCGGAACTGGATGCCAGGCTAGTGAGAGAAAAATTCTCCGTACACAAGTACGTGGAAGATTCTCGTGAAATTTTAAAGTGTCGGCTATTAGCTGGCCAGGAAATGGACGATTGCATTCGCATAGATCAACAATTCGTCGAGGAGCAAAAAAGACTCGATAAGATCAAGGTTTGTCCAATCTAAGAAATAAGAAATTTTCCACGTTCCAATATCTCTCACCGTTGTTCTTCCACCACCATATGTTCTCCACCATGTATTTTTTCCGATCCAGCGACGATATCGTCGATACATAAGCGGTTTCGAGGAATTTCTCTCGAAGGATCACGAGGAGAGTATGAAAAGTCTATTCCTTGCTGAAAACGAGTCGAAGAAAACTAGAGAGATGACGGATCACAGGAATAAGCTTTCCGTTGAATATGGCCGGATTAGATTGGAAGTATATCACTGGGAAGAGAGTTGGAGAATGATGAAGATGTGTCAACGATTCCTCTATCAGATATCTCCGATTTCTTGGCGAACCGAGCACGATTGGATCCATCGCAGTCATTCCGGGGAGAGCATCACTTACGACCATCCGGAGGATTTATTCGGACGATACAGAATGCTGGGCGATGTTGCTTCGCTCGACGCTCTTATAGGTGAAAACTCGGCGGCAAATATCCATCTTTTATCTCCCCTCCGTTCAAAACAATAATAGTCGAACCTGTGGAAAAATTTTATTATTATTTTAGAGCATATATTAGAGTATATATTGTCTCGATGCTTCGCATGAAATTATCATTTCGCGAATCATTACCTTTCTTATCGGTCACTGATGCATTAGAAGTTTCTTATTTACTCAGAATTCTCTCTCCTCCCCTCTCTCTTTTTTTCTTATTCTTAATATTAACTTGTTAACTATCCAGAAGAAATAAAAAAAATGTTACGTACTGGTTTGGTTTCTTCCAGATTTTTTCGAGCAAGATATTAGCGAGGCGGGTCCCGCGGATTTGTATTTTCAGGAACCGTGGGAGCTGATCAACGTGTTCAGATCGATAGAAATGCAAAATTTGAACGCGTTGATCCACTTGGAGAGTCTTGCAGAGCCGATGAGTCAAATGATGTCGACGATTCAAAGTGCTGAACAACAGATCAAGATAGAAATTGAAGAAATAACCAATATAATCAAGGAGTTGCGCGTAATGATATATATAATCGATCGAATTGAATTAAAAATACATCGCATGGATTAAAGTAGAGTAGAGTAGAATGGTGAATATACGCGTGTACATACATATATACTTACGTGTGAAAACGTATTACTTTTAGGAAAGCATTCACATATTGGAAAGCAGAGCCATAGATTTGGAAAAGCACGCGAACGAGCTTTTGGAAACCGTGTTCCGGGATTCCGTTTGCTCGGAGGAAGTGCTTCGTCTTCAGGTATTCGTCGAGGATGCGTACGAGAGTTGTGTCGGGGTGAACGAAGCGAATCTGGATAGTTTCTCGATGATGAAATGGATCGAGAAGATACACGACGACTTGAATTTGAAGCTGGATACTCTACCACCGGAAGTGGTCAAGGCTGCCGAGAAGGAGGGCTTCAAGCAGGAGTTGAAGGTCATGAAGCAGACAGAGGAAGCCGCTAAGAAGGTTAGATATATCCGCGAAAATTAATTTACAATCTTAATATTACTTATATCTTGTTCTTATTCGATTCACACACTGGCTGGACATACCTCATATCGCGAAAAATATTTCTTATTTCTATCTTATTCTATCTAATCCGAAACGAATCGTTTCGAACAATCGTTTTCACGAAACGATTATTTACTTTACAGTTCGAGCTTATGCAACGATTGCTGGTCTCCCTGAAACGCGCAATGGAGCCACCTCCGACAAAGAAGAAGACTATGATGTGGCGATCGCCTCCAAAAATACATAGATTGAAGGGACTGGCGGTGGCGCTGAAGCCAACCGAGGAGGAGATGCAATATTTGACTTTCTTCACCGACTATTGCAAAACGGAGGACTTCACCACGTATCGCCCTCAATTTCCCGACGATTTTGATCTGACGTTCAAGAAGCAAGAAATTGTAGTGACCGAGACGGAAGAGGACGAGGATGTTTTGATAAAAAAATTTGAATGATCGAATTTCTTTTTTTCATTTAACATTAAATTACAAAAATAAAATATCGATATAATAGAATATTATATACAACATTATATACAAAGATTATACATTATTTACGAATAATTAATTAATAATTGGAACAAGAAAATTTCAATTAGTAGAGATATGACGAGGCTACGAGAGAAGATGCGTATTTTTTCCGTGAAACAACCGTAAACGGAGGTGGAAGCAACGTTGCGGATAATTGAAACAAATTATTGTTTTATCCTTGGACCGATTTCACCGATCCTCCAATTATTCCTCATTTTCCACGATTTCGATATTTCCCCCGTCGCAGACCAACTTGTGAATAATTCACGACCCTTCCCCAATCGAAAATCTTCCCCGTCCAATTAAGTAATTGAATTAAAACGCGGAACGCAGCGGACGAAAGATAACTTCCGCCTGTTTCTTCTCTTTAATTGAAACACTTACGTAGCGCGAAACATCGATCAAACGCAATCGTTCGAGGAGGACGCCTCGCACCGTGAAGATTAATTTCGAAAACGTCTGATGCATTTCCCCCCCCCCTCCCCTCCCCTCCTTTTTTCCATCTTTAACAGAAGGATCCGCGCACTCTTCCGTTTTACTCTAAACCCGGAAACCACGCGTCACGGTGTTTCAATTCTTTTTACAGAAACCTGCACGATCATCGTCACGCCAAAAGGAAAGGATGCTCGAAAGGATCGAAGATGAAAATTGTTTTAAAAAGCGACGAGAATAAACTCGAATTATTCGAATTTTGTACTTGGCGATCCAAATTTCATCTAATCTCTTCCAATTATTCACGGATGGTTCGTGAATTTTTAAAAAGATCCTTTATCCATTATGTTGACATTAAGTTCGCGACATCGAGTTGCTCTTTCTTCCAATTCGAGTAAATTCGTCGATCGTCTCGAGAGCATCGAATCACGGTCAAGAAAGAGCGTGGAATGAGATTAAGAGAATCGGAAAATTCTGTGTAATTGAAGAGGGATTGAATATAAGAAAGGAGAAGAGGAAATTCTTTGAAATTCTTATGCAACGAAAAAGCACCATCCTCTCACAACTCCGGATTACTCTCGCGGAGTGGTTTCGCCCGTAAGAATGCTCGCAAGTTTCTCCTTTGCATTCTCCTTCGTTTCCCAAAGGATCTTGAGCAAGAACAGTTTCTCCCTTGGCCGGACGAAAAAAAGCACGCGTGCACGAATCGAAGGGAGGAGGGGAAAAAGTCGGGGGAAATAATGGATGGACGAGAAATGGAAATAATCTCTCGAATGGAGGCATGAAGATAAAAGATATAAAAGGGGGAGGGAACGGGTTTTAAAAAATTTATACCACAAGTTTCTCCTTTTTCTTTTATGGAAAATCGATACGGATGCTCCTGCTTGTAGGAAGCACGTTAAGATTATCGATTCGATCGCAATGGATCGTAATTTCACGGATTTATTTAATTAAGAATAAAAATAAGAATTTATTTAATTAATTGTGAACGAGAAATTGTTATAATTCGATTCATCCTTTCTGCGAGTATATATATATATATATATATATATACGGAAACAACGAGGCGGCAGTAGTAAGAAATTCGCGAGGAAAAGATCGATACAAGGGGTTGAACTCGGAGTGAGAAACGAGTGGAGTAAATGAGAATTTTTAGATTGGCCTTGACAAGTCGTCTGCACACTGTCATCTCGACGCGAAAGAGTCACAAAGGGAAGTGGGATGGCGAGGGTGGGCAAGTCGAGTACCACGTGTCTGCCATTAATTCCACTTGTGGGGCAAAGGTGGCGAGGACCGACTAGTTGTTGGATATCGCTGCGAACGTATCCTCGAAGTATCTCTCCTCCGATTCTTACCAAGAGTTACTCGACTCGCAGGTAACAACGCAGGTGTGCTTCCTCGTGCTCGAGGAGATCGAAACAGCGAAAATTCGGGCGAGAAACTTTTGCCTTAAAAGTAACGAATCGAACGAGTGAAATTTCCTGAAAGCTCCTCCTTAACAGTTTACCTTGCTTGTGGAAAAATTGAAAAAAAAAAGAAAAAGAAGAAGGAAGAGAGAAAATTTTCTCTCTCCTCTTTTCGATCGACCAAACGATCGAAGCATCATTCGAGATTTCGAAAGAATGGCCGAATGTTTCGGTGAAAATCAGCGAGGGTTAAGGGCGGATTTTGCGTACTCGGAGGAAGCCTTTCGAGATTATCCCCATAGCAACGAGAATTGCTCGATAGCAGACTGGCTAGGGGGCTCTTGAACCAAACTAACCCCTCCTCTCTCTCTCTCTCTCCTCCCCTCCCTTCCTTCCCCTCTTTTTCCTCCTTCCTGTTTATCGTTCGTCTGTTTTCAACCCTTGCGTCGCTTCCCTCGTTCTAACACGAAAGGAAAAAAAAGAGAGAGAAAGGGTGTGCACATGTATCCACACGTGTACATACACGCGTATACACGAGAATATTTTTGCCCTTTACCATTGGGTCCTCCCTCTTGGTCCTCCTGCGCTATATTATTCACCATTCAGCTGTCCGTGAACTCTCCTCGAGCGGAGAGGGCCTTTTGTCTCGCGCGCCACTCATCCTCGCGTTCGAACGCGCGTGGCCCGCTTTGGATTACACCAACCGATGTTCCTCCTCCCGATGTTCCCCCCGTCTTCTCTCTTTTTTTTTTTTCTCTTTTTTTTTTTTTGCTTCTCTTCCATTCTCTCTGTCCGTTCTGCTGGAAGAAGGAACGGCTTAGATATCGGTGGAACAACGTTACAACGAGCTCACGAGTTTCTGCGTGAAATTACATATTACGACGATCGTGTCGTTTGTATATACGTTGTGTGTATACGAGTCTGATAGTTTCAAAGGGAGTAGTTTTATCTAGAGAAAAAAACCGTGGAATTATATATGGCCACGCGTCGAAGAAATGGCTAATTAATGGTTAATAATACGAAGGAATTAAATGGAGGAAATGGTTGGAAACAGAGAAGAGCTTTGTCTCAAACTCGTTTGCGTTTTATTTGAAAAAAAAAAAAAAAAGAAAAAAAGAGAAAGAAACGAATTTGTATTCGATGAACGCATAAGATTGCTTGCGAACGAAGTACGCGGATTTAATGATGGAAAATTATTGCATCTCATCTCATCGATTCAATAAATTCGATTCTTCCAATGTTGAGGAAAGAAATAGAATGCTCTCCGCTTCTTCACGAACGGAGCGGACATTTTTAGAAACGTGCTGCCACGTGCGATCGTTCGTTTCGACATCCCCTTTGATTTTCTCTTGATCGGAGAAATAAAGGGGAAGAAGGAAGAAGAGGAGAATCTGTTCATCCAACGACAGCCGGCCAATTTCAACAATGGATCTTCATAGTCCTACCGATGAACTACTTTATTCGTTATTCAACGTTCCGTGAATTCTGGATAAAAGAGAGCTTTGTTTCGAGTTCGTGCCGCTCTCGAATACGCGATTCGTATCTGTGTGCAACGAGATGTTGCACACTGTTTACACAATGTTCGAATATTGTTGAAGAAGTGAAAGAAATTCATTCTTTCGAAAAGATCTTTTAATCTTCGAGATAAAATTTTTGGAGAAAAATTTTCCTTTAAAATTATATTTAGATTATATTATTTAACGAGGGGAACTTTGTTTCTCGAAAAAAATTCAATTTACACGGATGGATGATCGATTAAAAGGCGAGCAAACTAATCGCAAACTTTCTCGCAAGTCAAGCTACGAAGAGGCTTAGTGTATAGGAAAAGGTTATTCTCGTTGTTAAGAACAAGAATAATTAACGACTGTCTGGGCCAGCTGTTCGCTGTTTTTCTCCATTTTCTCTGGAAGAAAATTCCAGAGAATTTTCTTAACAGGATAAATAATTCCATACGAAATTACAACTCATCTCAACTTATATAAATCCTGTTAAAAAAAAAAAAATATCTTTTCACGATTTTCCCTCGTCCATCTCCAAACTATCTCTAACTACCTCTTTGAAATGAACGGGCAATAAAACGTCATTAATTTCTTCCGAGAACCGGGCGTCTCTTTTCGACCGAACAAAGTTAAATTGGATGCTGTTAATCTCTCCAATTTCGGGTCACCGACTCGGCCAACGAAACTAATGCCGTCTTGGTCCCCCTTCATGGTTATACATTCGGGTTAATTAGCTTCATTAAACTGGACGAGTAACGCTACTTGTTGTCAGGGTCTTCTTACTTGGAACGACATCTTCGACGGGGATATCAAGGGGAAAATTTTAATTGCATTCGTTCCTGTCCCTTCCTTGAATAATTTCCTCGATATATACTTGTGCCATACCTCGCTGTCTTCTATATATATATATAAAATACAAAAAAACTCCCTTCGAATCTGCGGGAAAACGATCGAAACATGGATATTTCGTTCGGAGAAAAAATCCTCGCGAAGCGAATTTTTATATTCAAATAATCAATTTCACGAAGATTCTTTCGTGAGATTATATCGGAAATTTATTTCGAAAAAATTTTTCTTGCTTCTTGAGGTTTGTTTATTTCTTCAATATTTCATCATATCGAATCTTCTTCTCAAAGATGTAGAGTTAACCTCGTAATGTTAATCATTGACGAGGAATCGTTGCGTTCGATATTAAAATTTTTACCACCTCGAAAGCCTTATTAATTATTATATATCCGAGTAATAAAGTACTCCTTTCGAGGGATAACTACGCTCAATAAACTACATCGTATCCAAACAGTATCCAATCTCGAAAAGCCGATATATAATTCGATCGTTATTACTTGCTATAAACCCAAATGCAATTTTCATTAGATGAAGATCGATTTACGAGGTTCGTAAACTTTTCAACAAATCGATATACACAATATACACGATATACACGATATACACAATATATACACGCACACGTACTCTCGTGGAATCGACGAACGAAACGTCGACGACTCCTTTATTTGGATTCCTTCCGAGAAAGGAAACATCAGGATTTCATCAGGCGCCACGTGAGTCGGCGTCGCGAGGATATAGCGCGAAAGATTAATTTAAAAAAAAAAAAAGAAAAGGAAAAGGAAAACATTACGCAGCCTTATACTCGTATTGCGCGTACAACGTTGTCCCATCGAGGAACAAGCCGCCCTTTTCTATCGTCGTCGTTTCTATAAATGGCGCGAACTATAACGCGGGACGCCCACGAGTCGGCGCCCACGTCGATTTTCACCACTTTTGATTCCGGATCTATTCCGCACGACGCGCGGAATAATCCACGTATCTCCACAGAGAGGAGAAAAACCCTCGTCTCTTTCTCGTCGAAACATTTTTTAGACCGATTAAAACGACCGACTCGATCATCTTAATTTTAGGGAGGGGAAGAAATTCACTTCTTTCGAGAACTTATTCTTTTCTGAAATATTTAGAAAAGGGAGAGGATTTATACTTTCGTTTAAAAAATTTTCACGGACGAACGGAATGAATATCTTTTTGAAATACAGGGGATCGTTCGGATGGGATCGGATCGTCTTCCGAGCAAGAGTTGTTCAACGGCAAGATAAACTCGAGGCCGACGTTCTCTCGTTACAATGCGTACAGTTCTCGTTTTCTTTCCCTTCCTCGTTTCGACTTTTTGCCACGAACGCACGCACATCTGTGCATCTAAATATACGAAACACATGCTACCGTAGGCACCGCCTACAGCTCGAACTGGTATCGCGCGCATACACCGGTATTCGACGATCATCCGAGAAAAGCACTCGTTCTCGAGAAGCACTCACTCGGCGAAAAGTTTTCCGAAAAGAAAAAGTGATTTGTTTTTCCTTTTCCTCTTCTCTCTCTTTCTTTCTTTCTCTTTTTTTCCTTTCTTTAANGAAGCACTCACTCGGCGAAAAGTTTTCCAGAAAAAGTGATTTGTCTTTTTCCTTTTCCTCTTCTCTCTCTTTCTTTCTTTCTCTTTTTTTCCTTTCTTTAAAGCGACGCGCGTTTCGGTCGTTTTTAAAAAGAGATCGAGGAAAACGCGTCGTCCGTCGACCTCGAGCAAGATTATTTTAAAGAAACGTCAGATTGCTCGGTTTAGGCGGAACCAAAGTCCATATTCTGTTCCCAGTCGTGCAAAATGATCCGTGCAATTTTTTTTTTCCCCCCTGCAAAATTTAATCTCGGATCTAATTTCTATTTCTGTCTAGGTCGGATCGTATGCAATACGAATTCTGCATACGTGTCTGGCAAGAGTCGTCCCGATCTTATAAACCTGAGAAACTTATTCGAGAAAGATTCAATCTATCCCATTGAAACTAAAGTATTATTTACGTTGATTTTACATTACTCGAAATGTAAAGGTATCATTGTAATCTATAATATAATTTTCATTTCGAGGAAAGAAGGAAGAAGCTGATGCACAAGACTTTCTCTCATTACATTTCATCTCTGCTTATTCGCGAGCATACTTCTCCATCCCGTATGCAAATGCATTCGACCGTTCTTTGATCGTTCCCTTCCGGCAATTATGGCTCTAGGCCACTTGTTCCCTCATTATGCTGGATGCTAGAATTGTACGAAAGTACGAATTGTATATCTCGATCGGAGATCCGTGTCAAACTCTCGCGGGGAAAGAAGTTTTTTCCCTCCCCTATAATAATAATAATTGCAACAGGAATCGTTCAGGAAAGGAACAATGGAGAATTCGCAGATTTAATCTGGAATTTACGACCAACGTGAAAGCCGTTCAATTCGCGCGCGTTTGTATTCCGACGAGAGAAGATTCCCGAGATCCGATCCAACGCGGTACAATAACGCGCCCTGTCCTTCCCAATTGCACATTGTTTTCCATTCAAACGACACAGCCAACTTTCTATCATTGTTTCCGCGCCCGCCAACTTCCTCTAACGAGTCAATGTTTCACAGCTTCCAAGCATAATATTAACGCCGCTTTCGGTATACAGCCCGAACGTTTCCATTCGCGATAAAATCGAATTTCGTTCAATTATTCCGCGACGCGTTTTCGTAAATTGCCGCTTCTCGAATAATGCAACTTCGATCAATCAATGATCGATCGATCGTTCGAGTTTAATCGACGATAGAAATCGATGGATGATTTGCAAAGTCGAGAAAAATCTGAATCGAGACGAAGAACATTCAACGAATTTCGAAATTTGAAACGAAATCGCGGTGAAAATATTTTGGACATCTCTCTCCCCCCGATAGAGGATCGACGGGGATAGAGAATGAGATATGCGATGCGCAGTCGAATTACCTTTGGGGGAGAGAAAAAAAGAAAGAAAGAAAGAAAGAACTTTCTTAACGATGGAAATTTCTCAGTGTCGAGAATAATGGCGTTTCCAATCTTGTTCGCGCCATCCTTCATCGCAAACACGACTCGTTGCATTTTTTTTTTTTTTGGTCATCGCGCATTCCGCGTCCCACATTAACACGGACGACGAGCAACGTTGAAACGTCGGGTGCATCCGACGAGCCACCATCCGTTAATTATACATCTCGCTCGAGTTTTTCCACGATCAACTTCGTACAACGCCTTCGATGTTCGAACGAACGTTTCCAATTACGTTTTTTTCCAATCAATCAGCCCCATATATCTCGTAATTCCAATCGATAATTACCAAGCTTATCATCATCCATCATCCGAACTCGCGAACAGTGACTAACGAACAGAAGAATATTTTATTAAGTTTTAAAAATTAAGACGTACGATTGAATTTGCCAAAGGAAAATTATCACGAAAAAGGAATAAAAAAGAAACCAGGCAAGCAAGCCTTTGTCCCATAGCGTACATAGGGAGGAGAGCGGCACAATCGTCAAAGAAATACGCGCACCGCTTCGAGAGGCGAGTTACCACCAGCGCAGAAAAGCTGCGTGGACTACCGTTACAAGAATCGCGGAACGAATTCGAGGATTGTGGATTCGAGGAGAGCCCCTCCTCTCCCCCCCGCCATTCACGCGAAATCCTTGGCGCAGAATTGTGGAAAAGAAACGCGGAGAGGGGGGAGGAGTTCCCTTTGAAGCCGGTGTTCATCGCGTGCGTGCGCGGCGTAAATGGCCGCATCCGCGCGCCACGTGCCGCCTATCCTGTCCAAAGGGAACAATAACCGCGAAACACTCTCCTTTCCTCCCTTTTTCACTCTAACCGCTGCCTCCGTGTCGCTCCCTCCTGTCGTGCTCGTGCTTGGGGCTGATCCGCATGAATAAGTAGCCAACCCGACACGGAAACAAGAGGCTGTGGGAGGGGACGACGAAACGACGAGCGTGGACGAGGTACCGGCCGATCGTTATTGACCGGAATGAAAGTAATTTCAAGGTTCGAGAAGAAGCGCGCGCGCGCGCGCGCGCACCTCTGCTCTTTGCACTTGGCAAAATTTGTTTGTTTCCTTCTTAAAAAAATTTCTTTCTTCTTTCTCTCTCTCTCTCTCTCTTGTTTGTTCTCGCGCGTCGCAAGAATTTTCGTTCCTTCAATTTACTCGGAAATATTTCTTCGTCTGATTTAGAGAAATATCTTGGTTGGATCGATAAATAAAATATGTGTGGACGTGTGATTAAAACATAACGGAATTAGCTGATTTATTTGGAAAAAATCCTCGCTCACAGTCGGAAAGGATTCATTCAGTCTGATGGGACTGGAGCCGGTGTCCCCGGGAATACAATCAACATTCACCTGGCGCATCTACGGCACGCACACAAGAGAAGAGTGGCGAGTCTATGCTATATAAATATACGAATATTCAAGCGCGAGGACGAACGACGATATAATAATAATTGTTCTCGTTACGGTAGAAACGCGTTTTTTTTCTTTTTTTTTTCTTTTTTTTCCTCTTTTTTCTTTACATATCTCTCTCTCTCTCTCTCTCTTTCTTACTTTCTTCCTTTCTTTCTTTCACAATCGTTATACACAATTCCGCGCTCGATCATCTCTCACAAAATTCTCCTCATTTCTTTTTCTTAATCGTTCGCTACTCGGTTTAGCCGTATTTAATTATTACACAAATATGCGATCTATCGTTCGATCGAGAAGCACGAGATAAAATATCGAATGGTAATAAAACACAACAAGGGCAAGTATAGTATACAATAGAATTTTTTTGAACGACAGTCGATATAAAAAACAACAATCATACTCGACAGACATTGGTCGATTTCCTTTCTTTTTTTTCTTTTTTCTTTTTCTTTTTTTTTTTTTTCTCAGCGTGGAAAACTTCGGCATTTGGATCGGATAAATTTATTCCTTTAAATTATAATCGTACAATTATTATTACACTGATATGTCGATCAGTCGTTCTTAATCATCGCGCTTCTGCCCGATGATTAATCATTCTAATCCGTTATCCACGTTCCATCGAACATTCAAACGGAACCAAGTATTCGCTTCCGCCAAATTCGCTTCTCCTCGCTTAATTAATTAAACAATTTCGCTATCTAAGTTATTCAAATTTTACTATCCGGATCTTTCAACTTTTTTCGAAAATCCTTTCTTCCGCGTACCGATCAATCAAAATTCGCCAATTCGTACACGAAAATCAAAATCCACTAAATTTCCTACTTAATTCTTAATCTTAAAGTCACTTCTAATCATTCTCTTTTTCTCTCTCTCAACGGAACAACAACACCTCGGAATAAACTATCGAAACTACAAGAAAACATTTAAAAATGAACAACATCCTTTAAATCGTTTAAAAGGAAATTTCTCCGAACCGAGCCAACAGGTTTCCACGCCGCGAGGAAATCCTACGAAAAACTTACAGCCTGCAATTGCCTATTTACAATGTTCTTACAAGTATAAACGCTTTATATATATATATATATATATATTTATATATATATTTTTTGGCGTACGCTACACGTACTCGTTACCGTCACACGCTCTCTTGGTTCCCCGAAATTAATAATTCTCGGCTCGACTAGCATCGACACTCGTGTTACAGTCGTGTGTACAATACAAATTTTATTTTTGCATTACCCATTTCTCTCTCTCTCTCTCTCTCTCGCCTCGTTTCTCACACTCGTAATCTCACACATACACGCACAACCGGATCGCGTGCTCTCGTCCCTTCTAAGTCGAGGACCGGGAGGACACGGTAATTAGAGGCCGTGGTAATTAAGTTGTCGGTGGAGGTGGCGATCGGTGCCACCGGAAGTTGGTTGCAACTGGGTTAAGGCGGCGCCGCAAGTGGGACGTGAGCAGAGGAGAGGAAAGTTCCGACTATTTAAGGAGGTTGCTTGCAACGACGACCACGGAAGGGGGGATATATATCTTCTGTCTGAATATTCTTCCGAAGATCTTGAAGGGAGGAGTCGGAGAGACGGAGAGGAACGGAGAGATGGGGCTCTCAGAGTTGCGCGCAGAGTCGAAGGAGAGGAGAACGGAGCGGAAGAGAGCGCAAACGCGCGCTCGAAATCGTTCTATCGATGCATTTTCAACGCATTCCGTGAACGCGACGTGAATCGTAGGAAGTATGTGTGTACGTATGTATCCGCGAAGGAGTCGTTCCTTCGAGCAACAAAGTGTGAAGAAACTGGTTCCGTTCCTGATGTGCTCTCCGTCCACTATTCCTTTTCCACCGCGATCCGGCCACGAATTTCATCCTCGTTCATTCCTCACTTTTCACAGATATCGATCGATATCGATCGTTGATCGACGAGAATTGTCTAATTATTCCCCTAGCTCGAACGTATCGCTTTGAAAATATTTTCCTTATTTCGATGGGATTCTTTTTTTTTGTTTTTTATGGATCGAGCTGGAAAACGCAGCTGGCAAAAAAAAAAAAAGAAAAAAACGAATCGATATTTTTCGACGCTTAGAAAACAACTCGTTTTAACTTGCCGAGCAAAATAATAAATCGGATATGGAAAGGATATGGAAACGAGCGTTTCGCCCGTTTTCTAGAAAATATCCAGGTGATATCCGATGTAATACGCGTCATCGACGCGACATCGTTTCCTATTTCCTCGAGAAATACGGGGTTTTGGTCCCGTGCAACTTTGATGCCCCTTTATCTCCTCCTCCTTTTGCTTACTTTTTCCGTGTCATCGATAACGCGATTTCCGCTCACATTTCCCTCTTGCTTTCCCTCCTCCACCTCCTCCTCCCCTCTCTTCCCTCCCAGAGGATATATCGATCCTGGGAATGCGTTGTACCATATACCTCCATCCCCGTCTTTTATCGTTGCAATTTTAAGGTAAATATTCAAAAATTGCGTGACCAGGTTTCCTCCCTCAACGATAAATTGCAATTGCGGCGCCGTGTCCGGACGTGACTCATTGCAACCTTTATCGATTCCCAACTCCTTCCAAGTGACAATCCGTTTCCTCCTCTTCGAGGAGAAGACTTTCTTTCGAAAAATTTTTACTCGGTTTAGGGGGGGAGAAGCAAGAAGAATCGGAGGGAAACGGAATTCCCTGTCAATACAGAATCTTTTAAAGATTCTTTTAAAGATAAAAATCTTAATAAAATAAAGATCGAACGTTTGAAAATAATCAACAACGCAACAAACTTTGTCAAAAAATAAACTTAGAGCAAACGTAAAAATGAGGAAGAGAAGGAACTCGACGCATCTTGATTTTTTTTTTTTTTTTTTTTTCTCTCTCTCCATATTTTCGATCCAGCTACTTCCGTCACAGCGGGTCGTTGTTTCGGATGTATCGTTGCCCGCAAACCACGATTTCCGGTCTCGTGTTGCCCTCTCGTGTCTCCTCTCGGCCTAATATCGATCCGCGCACCCCCAATAAATAACCAGTCAAATTATCTCGTCCGATTTTCCTACGCTCCCATTCCCATTTCTTCTGTTCGTCTGTTTAAATAGGAAATAAAAGAGGTCAGATTTTTCCAAGAGGAACTTTCTCTTTCTTCTTTTTTCTGGGAAATGCGCGACGATCGCTCTCTCTCTCTCTCTCTCTCTCTCACGATTTATCACTCTTTATTTTGAATAAAAATATCGTCCGCTTTTGTGCTGTGCTCGTCCTAATCTTTAAACGTTAAATTCGATTTTAACCGTTTCTTTTCTCTCTCTCTCTCTCTCTCTCTCTGTCTCTCCTCTCTCTTGATTCACGAGACTTCTCGTGGGAAGCACTTCTTGTCGAGACGCGAATGTAAATGTATCTCGACTTTCTCAACGAGATTTCCTCGAATCGAAGTGATTTTTTGCGAAAGGGAAGAAGAACAGTGATAGAAAGTTTGCAAGAGAGAGAGAGAGAGAGAGAGAGAGATATGTTTTCCTTTTTTTTTACGAAGAGAAAAGTTGAAGAGAAAAATATTATTAAGGAGATTCGTGGAAAGTTTTGCGCGTGGAAAGATGGCGAAGGGAAGTAGAACGTAGAAGGGCCACGAGAACACGAACGAACCAACGAACGAAATCACAAGTTTTGCGCTGCGTTCGAAAATAACGAAAATGAATAATAATAATAATAGTAATAATAATAATAATAATAATAATAATAATAATAATAATAATAATAATAATAATAATAACTTCGATTGTTTGGCGAACTGCACTTCTAATCAGCGACTTCTTTCCGTACCGATCCAAATATAATAGACGACGACGATATTTTCTACGAATAGGAACCAATTCGATATATACGAAATAAATTCGTCACACGAATAAATTTCTCGATATCAATTCCTCGCGTTACTTCCTCCAAACGAAGAGAAATTCACGATGATCGAAAACTATGACGAGCGTCCAATTGTCGGAAGAATAATTTTCCCCCGTGCGATATGTTTCCCATACAGTGTTGAGAAAATATCGTCTCGTGTTACGGTGATGGTGGTGGTGGTGGTCGATAAGAACTACACATACCGGATGTCCGCACGTCGAAGGGACCGTTAAGGATAAAAAGTATACATTGGCAAGAGAAACACGAGCACCCACCGTTTTGAGCTCCACCCTTAGCCCGGAAATCGACCAATTCTTCTAATTCTAAATAATCCTGATAAATAGAATTAGCTTTGAAAATTCATGCTTCGAAAATGATGATACGTAAAAATATACAATAACAAATATACAAATTTTCTCTCGCAACAATTATTCAATAAAAACTCACGGAGAGAACTTACTTAAATAACGTTTAAAAATCAGATCGAGTCAACGAATCACTTATCCAAGAACAATATTACGATAAAAAGTATATATATATATATATACATAAATATATACATCATCATCATCAGGATAGATCATCCGTTTCTTCGAGATATGTATCAAGATTTCCGATCGAGCTCAAAACGATCGATTCGCCTTTTCTACAATTAGCCCCTTATACAGCACGATACAACGAACACGATATACACACGTACGATAATTTAAGGGGAGGGAGGGGGATAGCGGATCGTTATCACATCGTTTTACTAAAAAAAAGATTCCGTTCGGGAAGAAGCAATCGAATCGTTTGATCGTTTTTCCTCTCTGTTTCTCTTTCTCTCTCTCTCTCTCTTACTCTCGCGTCACGTGGTATAAAGGTGCAAAAATTGAGAGAGGCACGATCACGATCGTCGGGACACGATTCTAGGGTCCTACTGATTCATTCACCTCGAGCTCTACCTCGACGAATCACTATCTAGCCTTTGCTAACACGATTAATTCATTAAAGGGCCAATCTGCGATTATCTTTCACGTAGCAAAAAAAAAAAAAAAAAGAAAAGAAAAGAAAAGAAAAAATACTCTCTGCGACGAGAATCCTCTTCCGCATGATGATATCCAAATGTAAAAACGTCCGAATCGTAAGATTCGTGATGCGGCCATCGTCCGTTCTCCGTTTGAAAATGAGGAGGAGGAAGGCGAGAAGAACTCCGTTCGAGCTGCTCCGTCGCGATAATTTTTAATTAATCTCGACGATTTGGCGGGGTTCGAGTCACGGTTATTAATACCCGTGCTTTTATCTTCGCCTCCCTCCTTGACCCGGACCCGCGTCAGCATTATTAATACGATTCGACGTCATTGTTATCAGCAACGAAGCCTCGTGGACGGGGCCTCGTTATCGCGAAAATCCTCTTCTCCTGAAGCTCATCAAAAAAAAAAAAAAAAAAAAAAAAAAAGAGAAAAGAAAAAAAAACGCGTCGTCCAGCGCGTCTCCCCATTTTTTTCGTCATCGGCCGGTGAGAAAGAACGGTGAGAGCCGAGGAGCTCGTTATCCGTGACAAGCCGAGACGATCGGCCGAAGGGATCGTTAAAAATCGCATTTTCCTAAAGGGACGTCCTAAGGAACGTTCGAAAATTTTGGCAAAATAGAGCTTCTCTGTTATTCCGATAGGGCGAAGAAGCACTTGATTCGTTGTCGTAATCAGACATCCGCTTCTCTCGTCTAACAACTCTCTCGCAATAGCGATCGATCCACGCTAGCTAGAAAAAAATTTCCTAGATTATTACACTCCTGTTCGTGGAGGGAGAGGAACATCCTCTTGATCGCGCCGGCGTTAAAAAGGCGTGGAAAAAAAAAAAAAAAACACCTGTTCCAAATTCCCAGTCGAGTCATCCGAACCTCGTCCTCGAAACGAGATCGCATCGATCTTCTCGATCGAGTGGAATGGAGAGGCATGCATTCCTCTCACGTCACGCAGTTCAGGGATCAAGATTTTCTATCTGAAATCTTTCGAAAATTGGGCTCGAATCGACGCCGTTGCTCGCGCGAGATTCCAACAATCGGTTGGAACGAACGAACGAGACGACTTCGTCCACGGGTGAGCGAGCAATGTTCGTTGGGACGCACGCGTTCCGTTGTTCACTCGAGCACCTCGGCGTCGCGGCATCGTGACGGGGAGGAAGAAGACACCGTGGAAGGCGTGGCTGTGCCCAGAGGAGAGACTGTCCGCGACTTGCAAAATCAGAAGACGCACGTGCAGTCCTCCGAGGCCCTGGCCTACCTGGCCCGTTTCCTGTTCAGCTTCGCGAGCTTGCGCCGCTTCAGTATCAGCTGATAAAGAGTGTCCAAACCCTCGTGAAGCCCCTCGCCGGTAATCGCGCACGCCGGTTGCACTCTGATGCACGCGCTCCCCGGCATCCCCGCCAATTCCAGCACGCCCAGGTGCTTTTCCAATTCGCCCACCTCTTTGGCACCTGTGGACATTCGGGAGGAACCGGTTCAAACGTTGACATTCCAGAAGGGGGGACGTGAGAGTAAACGATGCAGGGGTCGATCTTTCTTTCGGTTCTTCAGGGTTCTTCGGTTGTTCAGGGGTCAGGTTCGGAGAGATTGGGTTGATTCAAGTTCAGATCGAAGGAAGGAGGAAGGAAGTTGGAGGGAGAATTGGAATTTTATTTTCGAGGAGTGTTTTTTAAGATTCGTCGTTCCGGAAGGAGAATTGTCAAGCGGTCGAAATTAAATGATCGATGAAATGGTGGCGCGTATCGATCGGTCGATCGATCTCATTGTTAGGTGCCGTTCAATTTCAACGGAGACGGTTTAGTTTTTTATTATACGATGATTTGCATTTGGTTACGCAATAAGGCAGATAGAAAAAGAAAAATGTAGAGAAACCCGCGTAATCTCGCGAATGATGCGACTGATTTATTTATTTATTTTTTTATTAGAAGCAAATGTCGGATAAAATCAAGCGCTGTTCGTATATGTATATATATATATATCTTTAATCTTTAATCTAACCATGCTCCGTTATAAATTGCGGTCAAGTGCGTTTATACTCGTAGCGAAGCCATACTGTTCGAACCATACGATACGCCAATATTTTCCTGCCCGCTTATTCCTACTCTACGCTTCGAAACGAGTCTTCGAAAGTGATCCTATATTTATTTTTACGAATACGTAAAAAAACATCGAAACACGATTTTTTTAACTTTAAAGAATAAAAATTTTTGAATTTGAATCGAGACGCAAAATCGTCGTACGATTTCTAACGTTTCCTTAAAAAAGAAGAAGAAGAAGAAGAAGAATAAGAAAAAGAAAAAAAAAGAAAAAGGAAACACGTTTAATATTATGTCAGCAATCTGAGCAATCTCGTTTAGAAAAGAGGCCACGGTTGTCTTTATATAATCGGGGCGAAACGCCAAGTTAACACGATGCACACGAAACTGTGTTACCTGGCAGATCCTGCTTGTTGGCTAGGATCAGAATGGGCACACCGGCGTTATCCGGGCTCCTCGCCGTTCTGGTCAGCTCCATTTTGGCCTCCTCGAGCCGTTCCGCATCGCACGAGTCGACCACGAAGATAATACCGTCCGTGCATCTGGTGTAAGACTTCCATAACGGTCGTAATTTCTCTTGCCCGCCCACGTCCCATACGAGAAAATTCACACCTGCGACAAACCACGATGGCAATCTATTTATTTCCTCCTTTCCTTTCCTCTCCTCTCCTCTTCTCTCTCTCTCTCTCTCTCTCTCTTCGATGAACGATAAATCGTTCGTTCGAAATACGAAAGGGAATCTGTGGGAATCTGCGGTGTTTAGAATTTAGAAGAGAATTAATCGGAATTTTTAAACGTTTCGTTTCGTATCTCTGGATTTGAAAAGAAGAATGGATTTGAAAAATTCATTCTCACGGATAGAAAATGCTGCGCGAAATAATTGAGAGAGGTTGGAAAGCGACGTTTTTTCCTTTTTTTTTTTTTTTTGTCTCGCGAAATTGTTATCCCGAATGTAACGCGCATCCTAGTCGCTTTCACATCCTGCTTTATAATCCGAGGAAATGGATCTCACAGGACGGTTTCCTGCTACTTCTAGGAAACTATCGTCGTGATTTCTTTCTTTCTTTCTTTTTTTTTTTTTTGTCTTTTACCGAGAAAAAAAGTGGTACTTTCTCTGGAATACGAACGGATACGAAACGCAAAACGAAACGAAAGAGGAAGTTCTTTGACGCGATTTTCAACTCTCTCGCCGCAATTACCGGTATTATACCAGGTTTCTGGGACGAGCAGACCTACTCGTGCCGCAAGGAGGAAACAGACATCGACTTATTACGTTGACGCGCACGCGATAACTGTAATAATAAATGGGTTCCGCGTTAAACGTTATCCCAACCTCGTAATCGTTGCGATATTTCCATCCAGCTTCTATCTGGATCACGTTGTCATCTTTGTTCCTCTCTTCGCCAAAAAATCATTCGTCCAACCATTTTAATCCAAGCCTTCGATCGATATCTCTTCTATCGCGATATATAAAGCGTGTAATAAAATAAAATAAATGATATTTGTATTGTTTTTGCACTCGAAGAGTTTTTCGTCGAACCGACAACTCGAGACGATTTTCCGTATGTGAATTTCTTACTAAGCTAACTCAAAACTCGTTTCACGTACGTGTAATTAACTGTAGAAAACTTTTATATTTTAATATAAATGTATAAAGGAAGGAAATTTGTTGAATATTAAAGTCTATATCGTTGTTTTCTTGCGGATATTTTGTAAAGCCAAAGAGGGCATCCTCGGTTTCTCGGGGCAAGTGTCACGAGTGAAATGTCGTTCGATGTCTTTCACCTTTCTTATTTCGTCGAGAGCGAATTTTATAATCCTTCTTGACTCCTGTTAACGTAACGTGCTTTCACATTCACCGTCTCTTATTATTCTTATTTATATACACCTCTTGCTTCGTCTCTATCTCTTCATCACTGCTTCCCTTCTCTCCATCGTTATCATTACCACACTCTATGCTTACTTAAACTCGAACACGATCCAATTTGAGATAAGAAAATCTAACTGTTTGATATTATATTATAAAGATTATAAAGGAAATAGGTGAAGGAAAGTTATTGAAGCGATATTCTAAAAAAAAAAAAAAAAAATCAATCATAAATAAACGGTGGCCGAGAGGTCAGCAGTCTCAGAGGTTGCAAAGGTTTAGAAATATTTTAGAATCGAGGAGTTAGAATAGAAAATTCGCGTTACCTTTCGCTTTCCCGATGCCACCACGGATTCTCTCGCAGTTGAAGCCAATAGTGGGCACTGTGTTCAAGTATTGGTCGAACTTGAGCCGATACAACGCGGTGGTTTTCCCGGCGCTGTCGAGGCCCAGCATGGCCACGTGGAGCGGCGTTCCCGTGGGAAGTGCCTCGAGGAAGCCGCCGCTCGTGCCGCTCCTGCCCATCCCGGCACCCATTCCTCTCCTTCCTCACCACCTCCTTCCTCCCTCCTTCCTATCGCCACCACTTTTCCACCTCTAACCCTCCTTCCTCGCCTTTCTTTTAACTGGCATTTAGCTACCCCCCTTATCTACCTTCCCTCCACGATCGATCGCTCGGTTGATCTCCTCCACTTTCTCCTCCTTCCTTTCTCTTCTTCTTCCTCCCTCCAACCAAGCCGGTTCCCCCTTCAAAATTCCCTCCTCTCCTCTACCTCATGCCGAATTTATTCCCTCTCCCTCTCCCTCCCTCTCTCTCTCCCCCTTTCTTTTCTCGCAATCCTCCTTCCCTCCAATTCTCTCCACCACGCGTTTTATCCCTCCATGCCAACTCCGCGTACACTGGGACACTGGTCTAGCTTTCGATTCTCTCGTCTCCTTTCTTCTTCTTCTTCTTCTTCTCTCTCTTTCCTGTTTCTTCTACTTTGCTTCTCGCGATCCTCTCCGCTTGGACTGGTGGATACAGGCGGTCGTCCCGTCCGTGGGCCAAAGTCGGGGAGAGAAAGAGAAAGACAGAGGGGGGAGGGAGGCTGCTCTCCTCCGCTTTCGATGCTCGTCCCCGCCGTAAAAGGACTCGCTTCGAGGCCACGATCACTACCGCACCGGCTGAAAATGAAAGGAGAAACGTGTTAGCGATGCCTGTACGCATTGCAGCCGCGCTTTTTCCAAATCGTCTCTCTTTTTCCATCCTGCCCTCCTCCACTTACCGATTTCAATATACCAACGGGTGTTATCAGAATCGTACCTTCTTTTCGTCTCTTTCGAGCGCTCTGAAAAAAAGCTATTCTTAACTCGTTGACTGCCGCGCCAACGAAATCTCCTTCAGGTTATGTGTACCAAGCGTACTTTGTTGGGTACTTCCATCGATGTTTTAGTAAATGCGAGTGATAGCGAGAATAATTTGTTTTCATCATTTCGTTAGATCCTAACTTGTCACCTCTCATTCTATAGTTCGAATCTTTGAGTAACGAGTGGTACAACTTTTAAAATTTTTGCCCTAATTCGTTCCAGTGTCGAAAAGAAAAATGAAAGAATCGTGTCAACTTTTTGTCTAAATTGTCCTGGCCAATCTCAACTTTGTATAGCATGCTTTAAAGTTTTAATAAATTTTTTTAATAAACCATTTTTGTATCAATAGTTTTATTAAGCCCTGTGGAATATCTCTCCAAATACCTACGAAGATACCTACGAATATCTTCCAAATACCTTCGTAAGTGGTCAAATAAGCTGAATATACATGTGACGTGGTCCTATGAGAACTTTTATTGTCGCTCGAATATGGGTGTCGTGTTAAAGGATAATTTGTCACTGGTAGGATATCGATGTACTCGCGTGATCCAACGATGCGTGGAATTTTGGTGTGGGCAAAAATGTCGATCGAAGTATTCTTTTCTTCGTTGTTTCAAAAAAATCAATCCTTGAAAGGCGCTTTTCACGTTAACACATCTACGCGCACACGTATTTCGAAGCTCTGTCTATGTAGAGGTAGAGACAAAAGAGCGGTGCATAAAGGCGAGAGATACGAATCGCAGTTGGTCGTTGAAAGGTTGCCAATTAACCGGGAGATATTTTTAAAACGGGAGAACCGGTGGTCGAATCGCGTTTATCGGTTTCCCCATCCGTTAGAAAATATCTCGCTCCGATATCGATACCTTTTCGAGAAGCCGCCATCATCCGTGGAACATTCGATTCCTGCAATTTGCGGGGGTATCTAGACAGGATAACGAGCAGGATGGTAACTTCATTAAAACGCATCGAGAAGTAATTAAACCGGCGATCCAGAAGTAACCGAATTGCAATGAATCGCGGCTAACAAGGCATTCTCCGCTCGTTGCATCGATCTCACGCGTGCACGATACATCATCATTCGCCCCTCCCCCATTCTCCCAACAAATTCTTCCCCCTCTTTCAATTTTCCAATTTTTCTCCACGCGGAAAAAATAAAATAAAATAAAGACTTTCGAATGGCGAGGAGCGCTTTTCTTTCTTCTCCCCTCCCTCCGGGGAGATAAAATAATGATGGAAGCGAAAACCGCCTAAAGCCCGTCGTAAAACACTCTTAAACACGCTGGATCGGCGTTAGTTGGACAAGGATTTTCCACGAGAATTTTCCATTTGAGAATCGTAATCGAAAACTCGAATCGATCGTTTAAAGACTTTAACTTTTTTCCATCGCGTGAAAAGAGAAAGGGGATTATTGAATTCGAAAGTGAATTGAACCAACTGTACGACAGATAATTAGAGAGCGTAACTTATTCCGTGAACTGATTCCAGATTAATGGCGCGATTTTGAAGGACCATCCTTCCGGCGGAGGGAAAAAGAACGAAGAGAGAATCCCACTAACCTTGGCAATAAGTGATACAAGTCTTCAACCACTCCGCATGCAAATCCGCCGGGCGAATATTCCTGTTCTACGAGGCGCGATTAATCTCGTTCCTCCGGTCGGCAAACTTCACGGATAACACCACGGCTACAGGAGTAGAAAATTCTGCTCGTTGATGAGGATTATGACACGCGCCAAGAAATTCTGCGCGAAATAACTAACGAAGGCTCGTATCCCTTCCGAATATCGGCTCCGAACTTCTTTATCTAGCGAGCAAGAATTCAAGGGACGAGTTGTTCAAAGCTGTTCTAGATTTACTATATTACAGTGTTGCCGTGAAGGGAAATGGTTACCTTAAATATGTGGAAGGAAAGATGAACGAATTTATTGAGAAATAATTCTTCGTAATGGAATTGAAAAATTAATTAAGAGTTCGAACAAAGTTACTTTGAATAATGATAATAATAATCATTTGAAAATAAACTCGAATACCATTATTCGTAGCCATCACGGTTCATCAACTCTTCGTATAACACAGCCTCGGGGCTACGGTTAACCGCGGTTATTCGAAAGCTTTGAATAATAAATTATTCAAATAACTTTGCTCTTTAACTTCCATTAAAAATTTACCTCCGTTGCCGATTAAGCCTTTTAATATTCGAATTTTTATCTTTCGATCTTCGTCGAACAGTTACGCTTCCTTTCGAATTGTAACGAATATTCATAATTCTTGAACAATGAAAATTCTTGAAAATTTAAAGATTTTCTTCGAAAATCCTTCACAGTAGAAAAACATTAATAGTATAATTCCTAGATAGATGAGTCTCGGGTAAATTCTCGAGCAACCGTGAAAAACCGTGAATATTCGTCGTGCCGATAAATCGGATGGAAAATGTTATTTCGAGTTCCTTGAACCGATCAGAAACGGATTCGAGTGTCGCGACCGAGCACGACTGTAGAATAATGGTAAGCATAAATTACGGTAAGAGAAACAATCAAAAGGGAGGATCGCGGCACGAGCGGCTCGGCGAGCATGGAATCACGGTGGCCAACGATGATGCCTCTCTCCTTTTATCTCTACGCCTGTTGAACGGCCTTAGAGCAGGGAGGCTATTTTTAGGCGGAATAAAGCGTGCAACAACCGGACGAGAATTAAAAAGTTTCTCTAAGTTGGCTGGCCGTCCCGTTCCTCCTCGCGAAAGCGAGGATGGAAAAACAGTTTAACGAGGCTACAGTCGGCCGGTTCGATAAAGGGACGACGAGCGACTCTCTGTTCGCTATAAACAGAGCGAGGTGGCGAGAAATTTTTGGCGAAAAAATTGCACCCGACCGGGACGGGGCTGGGATTGAAACTAAAATTGAAACTGAAATTAGACTTCCAGTGTCCACTCTCGATGGGATTTCACCGACCGAGGTATTAAATCGACAACTCTCGAAGTTTCGAGTATCGTTTTGCTCGCGAGTTTTGCTCAACCGAGCGTGAAATATTGTTTTGCAAAAATGCGTTGGAATTTTCTATTCTCCATCGATACCCCGCTGAAATTAAACACTGAATTAAATTTTAATGTTTGAGGCAAGGGATTGATAAATTGGTTTAATTGGTTAATTTTCAAAAATTCTGGATATTTCGAACGATAAATCTCTCATTGTTAGATCGAATCGTATAAATATCGAAAATTTATTTAATCATAGAACGGGTAGGCACGATGAAATTAAACTGAATTAAATTTTAATCTTTCAGGTAAGCGGTTAATAAATTGGATTAATTCGTATTTTGAAAAATCCTGGATATTTCGAACGACAAATCTTCCACTGTTACATCGAATCGTATGAAAATATTTAACACTCGATTCCGTGAAATTAAATTTTAACCTTTGAGGCAAGGAATTAATAAATTTGATTATTTTGAAAAATCCTCGATATTTTGACAAGTCTTCCATTATATCGAATCGTATAAATACATTTAATGTTCGTTTCTCGAATTAAATTTTAATGCTTGATGCAAGGGATCAATAAATTGGATTAATTTCTATTTTGAAAAATTCTGAATATTTCGAACGACAAATCTTCCACTGTTACATCGAATCGTATGAAAATATTTAACACTCGATCCCGTGAAATTAAATTTTAACCTTTGAGGCAAGGAATTAATAAATTTGATTATTTTGAAAAATCCTCGATATTTTGACAAGTCTTCCATTATATCGAATAATATAAATACATTTAACGATCGTTTCATCGATTCTCGAATTAAATTTTAATGTTTGAGGCAAGGGATCAATAAATTGGATTAATTCGTATTTTGAAAAATCCTGGATATTTCGAACGACAAATATTTTTACATCGAGTCGTATAAATACGAAAACATTTAACCATAAGTGAACGGATAGGCTCGTTCCACCGAGGCGCTTCCTGTTTATTGTTCCGGTGTTCCGGTATCTTTTTTTCGTCAAGTTAGATGAATCCTTTATTCTTATTTCCGCCACGATAGGATCCGTATTCGTTCCGTATTCGTTCCTCGATCCGATCGTTCCGTTTTCCGTGTATAAACGCGTGGACAATGGAATCGATTCCGGACGAGAAAAAAAAAAATATATTTCTCGATAAGGTCTTATAATAGATCATCAGAGAATCGTTCGACGAATCATTCCTTTCTCCTCTTCTTTTTTCCCCTCCCTTTTCGTCCATTGTTCCCAAGATCACCATTTTCTCTAATGATGCAACTTGTCACTTTTGTTCTTCCTTCTTAACGAATCCTCGCCAATTACGACCCCTTCTCTCCAGGCTTATTTACCTATTTAATTGTACGCGACTACGGAGAGACGTGCAATTTTCCACCTTGGTGGAATATATATATATATATGTGTGTGTACGCGCTTCCTGGAACAACAATCGAGATAGTTGGAATGAAAAATAATAATGTGAACATGATTCGATGAATCGTTGCAAAAGATACGAATCGGCTTTGCAGTATTTTTGACGATCGATGCAAATTTAAAATTTATCGTCGGATCAAAAAAAAAAATTTTCCAAAATCCGTTGAATCATTGATATCACGTGGTACAATTATATTAATATTATTAACTTGTACCGATAAAATTAATTAGAATTTCGATACGAAAGAGAGGAAGAAAAAAAATCGATATCACGAATCGTATTTTTCGAACGCGAGGAACGTAATAACTCGACACTCGAATCTGTTTCGATAAACTCTTAACCTCTTAAACCGGCCGTTTACGAAGGCTGAGACGAAACTCGGTAATCGGTGAACGTGGTGGCGAA